CGCACGTCCCCATTAAGCCCTTATAAGGGAGTACCCCCCCCCCGGGATTCGACCCCTGTAATAAACATATCGATGTTTTTGATGCATAAACTGAACTCACCAAGTCTTCGTGGTTTCCACGTCTTGACAGTGCGGCCTCGCTCGACATCTACCACGATTCTCCTGCCATCTATCTTCTTTCCATCTGCATGCTTGTACGCCGCTGCAACAAATAAACAAAACATGGACATGTTACCACACCAAGCTTGTAAGGCCTTTGTAAAAAGTTACTTTGCATGGCAGTAAAATGCTACCTGTATCATAACTTACCTGTCCTCTCCACAGCAAAGGTGATACAGAATCATTAAAAAACCTAAACTTAAATTAATGCCTTGATGCTTTTTTGATTGACTTTTTTTACAGGGAGCAAAAAAAAACTGCTACAATATCTTGAGCAAGTACTTTCAAAGTTGCAACAAAGGTTTTAACATTTACCAATCACACTCAAACCGAGAACAGTTCTTTTTAACAAAATGCCATTACAGTCCATATCACTTTTACTGCATAAGTGGCACATCCAGACTTGTGAGGGAGTGGAACATGGGATTAACAAAATGGGAAACTTTATTGAAAATGTAAAGTTCAGCCCTATGGAACATCATTTTATAACAAATAGGAATCCCATATGTATCCCCACTAGCTAGACCCACCACTACATGAGATACACGTAGCAACTTTTACTGCCATGTCACGGATGTGCATACTATGAAAAAAGCCGTACCTTTGCCAATTCTGATAAAAATGACATTTTTCAAAAAAATTCATATTTTTAGTGGAGAATAAAGAAGAAAGGGTACAGCTCTAGCGAGAAAGGCATGAAAATTAGAGGAAACAACAGTGAAGAAAGTTTTTTCATTTAATTGCCTGGTTATCGCAATCCTAAACATATTAGGGTTTTGGTTGAGACTTATTTACAAGTTCAATAACCGGCACAAAAGTGACCAAAGCACGCCACAAGTTTGTAAGTAACAGGCAGTAGTATGACCAAATTCCACAACAACAACCAAGATGAATAATCTTTTTTTTTAAATCAGAGCCACAACCAAGAACCTAATGCCAACTACACTGTTTACATGACTGGGTCATTCTCCGATCTGTAAGCTTGAGTCTGTTTTAATGCTTGATACCAAATTACATCTGTTTCAAGAAAGAAATTATTTTTTGAATTCTATTTTGGAATACATGGTTTTAAGTCACCCAAACTAGCAAAAGAAAAGCCCTCTGGGTGCACCAAGTAAAAGAAAAGACTACTTTTGATCCTTGACTCCTTTGCATCTAATTGCTCTGGAGTTTCATCTGCTTCAGTTTCTAATTTGGCAGCATATCAAGGTGACATTTTAACCCTGATAATTTTTTTTTTCAACTCTTGCACAGTACCGCAGCTTTAGGGGTGCTTTTTTGGGGGGATGATCCAGATCAGGATCAGTGATCCGAGATCGAAGGAACCGACAGATCCGCTCTGGACAAGGATTCATCAGCTGCTTTGAAGCACTATAATCTGAGTGACCTTGGATCACTCATTCTGATCCAGGTCATCCCAAAGGAAAGCAACCTAATCCTTTTTCAGAGCTGGGACGTTTAGAGTTAACAAAAATACGAAGTGTAAGAATACTCACACTCCCACCAGATCCTAATGTACCAACATTACTTCACTACTTGGCGATAGACAGACAATCAAAGCTCTCCAGTACCGTGAATGTGTCACTGGGGCTTATTACCATCACAGCCAGTGACCTCACCAAGGGAAGCCAATTAACTCATTTTGTACCCTTCCCTTCCAAATAAAGCAAGTTACTGATGCAGAGATGTCCCTAAGAGCCGGCTGCAGGCTAAGACATAAGGTAATTTGGAAGGTGCAACTGAGTAAAGAAAAAAAACAGCTTAACTAATAAAAAAGCCTCCTTAGCTTTTTCTTAGCTACATTCTCTCTTTTGATGTTAAAAAGGCAAAGTCCTAGGCATGGCATATTGTCTAACAAAACGTTTTCAACGGCAGCTTAAGTGCGACATGAAAAAAGAGATCACAACTATGATCTTTACCCAAATATTTTTTTCCAGCAACAAAGTAATGATGCTGAAAACTTAACTGGCTTCCCTTGGTAATACTCACCCGAGAGGTTATTGTTAAAAATTATCAATCATTGAAATTAAACAAAGCCATCCTTTTGTTAATCTTTAGCTCTTATTTGACATTGTGAGTTATCTCCACTTTTTAGCAAAAAAAACTAAAACACAAGAGAGAGCTTCAGAAGACTGAAAAAGAACCTGTGCTAACATTGCAAGCAGCTTAAGTTTACACAAGCATTCAATCCCTCATAAGCCCAGCCTTGTGTTTTTTAATTAAGCAACATCTTCCATTGTTTCATCATGCCACTATTAAACTATGCTCCATAAAATCATTTAATGATAAAATATACGACTTTGATGTCTGTTAAAGAATTCAGCTTGTACAGTCAACTCTACAGTACTCAAAAATACACTGGTAGATAAAATCGTTTCAAAGCTTCACAGCTGTGGAACATATGATGGTATCTCTTGTCTTCACAAATAGTGTTTTGTAAACTTAAACACATAGATTTTTGTTTTTCCAATCCAACTAAAATACCAGAGGCAAAATAAATAGAAAAACAACTATAGTTGAAGGGAAACCTTGCGTGGTGGTAACCTGTTGATTAGTCATGAAAGGTAATGTAGAGACTTTCAGAACTTCTACAGGCTGGGTTTTTCAATAGATATACTGTTGACTTTGTGTCAAAACACAGGTGAATAAAACACTGACATTGCTTCTGTCAGAAACTTGGAATTTATCTTTCTTAATTATGTTCTTGATTTTGTGTTAAAAGTAGAGTTGAATGACCCTGTTTTACCTGAGTGAGTCTGACCTATACCCACCATTTTACCTGATTATCTTTCAGGAGAATTCAAGAGTATTGGGGAAAGTTAACCAAGTACTGGCTCATCAAAGATAACTCTCACTTTTGCATGATGGCGAGTGATATAGTATTCACTGCAAGATTTGACCAGAATAGGGTAACTTAGTAAGAAAATGAGGAATAGTTTTCTTGGCCAAAACTCTTATGTACCAGCACTTTACATAAAATGTGAAGCCCAGTTACCCCCAAAACTTGGACAGAAACTACTTATTTGCAGCAGGGTTTTTCGCGCTACCAAACAGGTCTGTGTGAATCAATAACAGAAGGCCAAATTTGCTTCAAAAAGTCGCAGTAAAGGACAAATGCAGTTATTTTGTTTTCTTACAAATACTATGAACAGGGCTGTAATAAACGCACTGAAAATGATTTTTTTAACATACTGGTATGTAGAGTTAACCTCACTTACAACCAAGACTAAAAAACCCACGCCGTTTACCTCAAAAGCAATATTGAACCTGATACAATAGTACGTTCTTCACCTTTCATTTTTCTTTTTTTGCCAATAACAATAATATTAGTGTCAATTATTTAATATTTGAAGCGCATGAAATTCAAGGATATTTTGTTTCAGTTCCAAGACCAGGAGCAATGAAAGTTTTCTTGAATTCCTTCCACCCAGATGTAAGATAAAAAATACTACCAACAAAAACATCCTTGAATCTCAAATGTGAGATGAAACAGTATCTATAGTATGTGGGCTTCATCATTCACTCTGGCCTACACCCCTCACAAACTTTCTGCCGAAAGGAATCATGAGTTTGCAATATTATGATTGGCATTTTGGGTACAGCAACCTTAAATTTGGCCTGAAAGCCAAACATTCATGGCAAACCACTTTTGTTTTTCCTCCTAATGTAAATGTCGACATTCATAACCATGTATACCAAAACTTCTTAGTAAGTAGATCAGGAAAAGCAAGGAAGATAGTGGCCACCAAAATGTTTGTTGTGGTGTACTAAGCAATGAATACAACTTCCATTTCAAGGTTCCATCTCAAGGTCTGTTAGTATGACATACTTGGCTCAACCCAATACTTAAAGTACAGCTATTTGAGGTATCTAAAAATGAGTTCAAACTAAAAAGTGATCCATCATAACGCTGACCTCAAAATTTTTAACGGGTGCACAAAACAGACGTGTCCAAACTCGTTAATATTTAGCCAAGTTAGTTTTGGCCTGCCAAAAATTTGGGCATAGAGCTAAAATCAAGGTTGCTGTACCAAATTAAAGAATATTATTGCTTAAAGAAGCAAGAGAAAGTAAAAAAATTATGTTTTATACATACCGTGCATGTCACGTTCATGCTCATACTCAACAAAGGCATAGCCCCTGGGTTTATTGTTGTTTATATTGTGGACAAGATGAATCTGCAAACAGATCAAGTAAGCAAATAATAATTTCAGTATAAATATGTGAACGAGAAATTCTGTCATGCTACATCAATGAAATCCTGTTCAGAGTGGGCATTTATTGTTCTCTGGAACAAGGGAAAGGGTAGATTCTGCATGAACATCAATGCAATGATGTCATGAGAGAATGAGAGAATACCGTTAAATGCCGCTCATATGCCCTGGGCTTATATATCTTCTAAGGGGTTTTAGGAGAGCTTATAAATGGAGGGGTTTATATCTGAGGGGGTTATAACCTGAATAGAAAAAGCATTTTGAAACAAGCCATTGTAGTGCAGATCAAAATATGTTTTGCATTTACTGGTTTTTAATCATTATTACATGTAAGCTTCAAAATGTCAAAATAAATCAAATTCATTTGGAGAGGGGCTTGTATCTGGAAGAGCTTATAATCAGGGGGCGGGGTGGGTGCTTATAAGTGGGGAACTTATACGTGTTAGAAGCAGTTAACTGTATACAAAAGTTTTATGTGCATAACACATCTGAATTTTTGCAGGCAAAGCTCTTGTAAGTATTGTGGATATTATTGAAGTAATCCATGGTGAAGGAGGAAAAAACTGGAAGACTTCAGCACTTTCTTTGGTTTGTTTTAACTGAAAGAGGGCCATCAAGCTCAATAATAATCTTGTTCAAAGTTCAGAATACTCACCCTTTTGATTGGTCCATAGAGTTCCATCTCTCTTCTGAGCTTAGATTCAGACGTATCATAGTTCTAAACAAAATTTTTAAAACAGAAAAATAAATTTTAACCAGAGTTGAGTCTTCCAGATAGGAAGGTAAGTTCTTTTGTTTCCACATTTACATTCAATTCATATTGTTAATGTCATTCCATACACTCCATAGATAATAAAAGGGAGTAGTGGAGATCATAATTACATGTAAATTTAATCTGAAAATTTTTCACTATTAACCGTTGAAGCCTTAGTATTCTCCAGAGAAGATTTTATCTGCCGACATTTCCTCAAATAATAAAGTGAGAGAAATGTTTTGTGAACAATGCATTTTCCCCTTCTTGATCACTTTATTACTTCTCAAAAGCTTTTCACTTGATTACATATCTTTAAACTTGAGGGCTGTCACTAAAGGCCACTGATTTTCCCTGTATTATATGGGCATGACTCCCAGCTGCTTTCGTAGGAAACAAGAGGAAGATTAAGAAGAACTTCCTACCTGTTTAACTCCCCCCCCCCCTACAAATTTTATATACGTGACAATTAACAGTTATTGGACGAGGTTGAGCAAAATACCGTGTTTTGTCAGTGGCAAGCAGTTATTATTTACCGAAGCTGAAGGCTCAGGAAATAATTGATCTGTGAGACACTGACAAATCACAATATTTTGTGATAACCGAGTTCAATAATAATTTATCACTCAGTCACCGAGTTTGTTTTTTGTAAAATATTTTTCGGGAAGCTGCCTATTTCATGCAAGAGTGATCGCAAGAAGGAGAAAAGCAAGGTATCATTTACTCATGAGGGGAATATTGTTACAGCCAAACATGGTTGGATGACATTGTGCATGAGCAGACCATTATTAATAATTGTAGGCAGTTATTTGCAGGTCAAGTGGTGGGTTCTTGGCCAATGAAAAGGAACAAAAATTTGCATCAAATGATAATAAGAAATGTTAGTGACAACCCTTTTAAGAGAAACACTTGGGTCTCAAGGGGTTAATTGATTAAACAAGTGCTACAGTAGACCTAAAGTAAGGAAAAGCACTACATACAATTCTTCCAACAAAAAGTGTCTTAAATGCATCAGTTCCAACAGCATTAGCATCACTGTGGGGATCCCCTGAAAAAGAACAGAAATTAATAAATTAAATGTCCTTTGCTCCTGTCCCGGGCTGGGAAAACTTCTGTCAGTCAGAAACAGTTGGTTTTCTTCGCAGGCAAATGACTTGGTAAGGGCTTAGCTCACTTGCCCAATGGGCAAGGGTCCAGGCAAGATAATTTAAGCAAGCTAAGAACAAGTTGTTATTAAAAGTTCCAGTACAAAAACTGTTTCGTTTGGACACCATGCTGTCAGTGTTGCAGCATTGAAACTGCGGAGTTCTGATCCATATGAAATTAGATCTGTCAAAAACTTAAACCAACTTAAAAATTTAAATCTAAACTGAAGAGCTATTTGTTTAGAATAGCTTATTTTTACTTTCTGTGGACTGTAATTGCAATTTCTAAATGTTAATATTCCTTGAACATAGCTTTTAAGATCAGCAAATTTAGCAAATTTTATATATCTCTTTATATTATATTATTTATATTTCTTCAAGCACTTTAGAACCTTGTATAAAGCAATATATAAATAAAGAATTAGTATTATTAGTATTAAACAATGACCCTAGGAGGAAAACAAAATGTGAGAGCTGCTTGTCCAAGGAACAAACTGAAATTCAATTTTCATTTTGAGCTCTATGTCACAGGCTAAACCAGCAGGCAAGATACAACAATCTTATTGATATTACCTACTTGTAGTGCAGAAGTTGTGCAAACTACTGTTAGGCAAGTGCAAAGCATATAAGGAACACTGACAATCACTTACATTGTTCCAATTGATCATCCATAAACTTTGTTGTTCGCTCCACTTTCTCTTTCCTCTGAAATGATCAATAAAACCCCATTACAAAAAAATCACCTCACCAATAAAAGTTAAAAGATAACTCTAAATTCAGTGTCCAAAGCTGGCCAGGACTATTTTTGTGAGATCAAGGGTTAACCTGAGGAGACAAGTGAAGATTTGAACTGCTGTTATGTTTGTTTTGAACAAGACAACAGAATGACGATGTAAATAGGCTTTAAAAGGCAAGCAGCACAATAAGGTTTAGTAACTTGCTTTCTAACAGAGTATTTTGCATTAGAAAGGCTTTCAGATTGGGGGTAGAAAATTCTTTCAGGGACTCTTGTGTAGAACAGGGCAGATTACCAAATGGTAACACAACCTAAACTTTAAAGCAGCCAATACAACAGGCACTTAAAAAATGGCACCTTTCGTTCTGTCTTCTCATCTCTGGTTTCGCCTCGAGTGGGTGGTGGAGTAGTTTCTGGATCCTGAAAACATAACAAAATATTCATCACGTACCATAGTTTGCATTATTATCTACTAAAAACTTTCACTATCGGGGTTAAGGTGTGGAGGAAATCTTAAGTGAAAAAATAAACTACAGTCCACTCTCTACAAGATAGGCAACCTTGCTGCAGCAAAAACGAAATACTTCAACCTTTAAACCCCATTATCAAGTTACAAATTTTCCAAACTGATCTCCCTACATTTCCTTACAGAATCAGTTGAAAGAATTTTCCCTTTGTTGATTATTTTAACAATTCACATAAATGTTTCTCTTGATTATGTATTGAAATCGTTACAGTGTAGTTCTTATGCTACTCATTAGCCTGTGCCACAGACAATCCTAAACTTCTGGTTAAGGCCATCTACGAAACAGTGCCAAAATCCTTGTTCTGAACTCCCACCTGGTTATCAGGATTTGAGTATGCGCCATGATTGGTCTGTTAAAAATGCCATTTTGGTTTTGCCCATCAGGCCCGGGTTGCTCGAAGCATGGTTAGTGCTAACCAGCGTTAAATGCCATGGAAACCTATACATTTTGACACCTCTTAACCAACAGTTAGCGCTAACCAGGCTTCAAGCAACCGGCCCCAGGTAATTTGCTGAGTCTGTTGGATCTGTTGGAACAAGGATCTCAGCACTGCTTCACAGATGTTACTAACTGGGTTTAGATTACATCTGCAACCCAGGCTGCTTATTTACTAGTTCCTGGTTTCTGAAAAGTGCACCCTGGCAAGCTTTGCAGTGCTACATGGCAGTAGCATGACTTCATTTCACATGACGTGCAACTGCAGCACTGCACTCCTCATATGTTATCAAAAAAGTTTGGCTGAAATGGTTAATTTCGTTTCAGCAACAGCTATTTAAATCAACTGAATTAAATTTGATGCCTGATACTAAGTTGCACTGCAGTCATACTACACTACTTTTGAGCCAGCTTGGCTTGGCAGCACTGCGGCATTTGAAACAGCCTAAGTGCAAAGTCAACATAACTCAGGGGGACATTACTTTCAGCCTGGCCTTCTGATTTGTAACTGTGAATTTTTCACCAAGCACCGCACATGGAATAACACAGGAGATCAAATTCTAAAAGGTATTGAATAGATTAATTTTTTAGGTTTGAACAGCCTTCACGCCATTAGGTTGCCGAAGTCAAACAGAAGGCTAAACAATTTTATGGACCAATTTCGAATTTCTTGTTTCCGTACAACAACTAAGCAAGTCACTATAAGTAGAGATCAAGGAAAAACTTTCACGAAAAAAGAAATTCCATAAGCAATGAGAACTTAACCGGTGAGCTAAACGAAATCAAGTTGAAGCTCTTAAAAATCTAGAGTGTAGGAGCTAGAATAATATTATTCAATTACAACTATAAGTTCGCCACTCGAACGTAACAAGTAAATTTCTTTCCATCTCTCACACTAAGATGACCCAGAAATGTTACTAAGCTATACAAAGTAAACAAGTTCTTACCTCGAATACTCTGACGAACTTTCCCAGCCCAGTGTACAGCCATGGTCGTTTTTGAAAACTGAGTTTATCCAAAGGTGGTAAGTATGGGATTGGATCTCGAGGAGCAAAAAGTGCGAGTAGATTCGGCGGCAAAAAGGCCGTCATTTTCTTTTGGCAACACTCCTCGTTTTACTACAACTAATGAAAAACCGATTTCATTCAAAAATCGTGTAAAAATTCAGCTCCAAAGCCACAAGCACGCCTCGTCACCCCGCGAAGCCTAAGCTTAATGCTCGCAAAGGTCTATGGGAGAAATATAACAAAAGTTATGATTGGTCAGCAAACCACATGTCTTTAAGTTATCCAATCAAATTCTTTGTTAAATCTGTGTCGTTTTATGATTTTCAAGATGGCCGACAGTGGTCAGGAAAATATTCGCAATGGCTTGCGATTTTTTGATCGAACAGACGATTTAACGGCGTCAAAAGTTGGACTTGCAGCACGAGAAGGTGATGAAGAAACTTTAAGAGCTCTTCTAGCCAGTGGTATGTGTATTTCAGCTTACGGTATTACTGAAAACTTAATTTCCACATTGGATTAAAAGTAATCAAGACTTGTTTTTGATGCTTATGACAGTTGTTGGATGTGCGCTGTTGGAGTAGACCTGTGTCTTGTATGAACCCAAAACCAAACAATTTTATTTCCACCACTACAACACTATTTTCAATTAAAGGTAGATTGCAGTATTTACTCATGTGTAATAAGCTTTCTTTTTTCAGAATTGTTTGCTTGTATGTTGGTAGAGGCACAAGCTGCAAATAAATGTTTTTAGAAGGATGTATTTTTGACCAGGTCACCATTGTAGTTAGAAAAACCAAAAAAATTATAGGACACAAATTATTTCAAATGTTTTATTTCTTTAATTACTATGCAAATCTACAGAGTAAAAATTGACAGTCTAAGTATTTGATCTGCCCCGTCATCATGTATGACCACCAGAAATGTTTTGGCAGACATAGGCAAGTTTTAGTGTGCCATTGTCTGATGATTAACTGTTATTTGTAGCTCTGGAGGAAGTGGTGTTGGGAATCGGCTGAGATTTCATAATCGATCATCAGAAATAATCAGATTAGTCTACCTGATCAATCATCATTTATTACGATGAGAAAATTCTCTTACATGAATTCTATTTATTTTTCACCTTTGTGCAAGTCAAAGTACATGTAACACAAACTTTCTGAGCCCAACAACCACTGAGCTCAGAATTTTTTGTTTGCTTCCTGGTGATCAAATTCTCTTTCTTCTTTAATTTTGAGATCATTTTAAAATACAACACACAAGTTTTTAATCTCTTTATTTGCTGACAAGAATTTTTAATTTTTTCCCACAAAAATTTTTGATTGAACATTTTCCAAAATGAATTATAGCATTGCTTGAAGGTTTTGATCGATGATTAATTAAGTTGTTATCGATTATCAGCATACCACTAGCTTGCAGACCTGATTTTTCTTTAAAAGAGCGGCTCTAATAATTAATTAAGTTACTACTGTATTTGTTAGGGGCAGCCTGTGATGTTTCAGACAACCGTGGCTGGTTCCCAGTGCATGAAGCAGCTGCCGCAGGACATGGTAGTTGTCTGCGAAACTTACTGCAACACAGGAGTGAGGACCTTCTTGATTCAAAAGCCTACAGTGGTGAAACTGCTCTTTTCTTGGCCGCTGTGAATGGCCATGTGGAGTGTGTAAGGACACTCTTAGAATTTGGTGCAGATGTGAATATCATGAACAATGAAGAAGTGAATCTTCTTGTTGCTGCTGTAAAAGCTGGAAGCATAGAATGTTTTGAGGTTTGCCTTCAAAATCTTATTTTTAATCTAGCCATTGAAAGTTAAGGTAGTGTGGTTGAGTGGCCAGCATGCAGACTGGCAATCAGGCGGTCATGGGTTTGACTCTCACTCAGGCCACCTACTGGATTTATTTTCATCATCCCAAGTTAATCCTCAGCCGTGTTTGTAAATAGCCAATGGGCTACCTCCTGCCAGTTGAGTATTTTAATACTGTTATGTACTATTTGGTTTTTTACTTCTAATTATTTGAGAGGAGAGCTTACAAACTAGCTGAATAAGCTAGGTGGACTTTCTACTTGCTGTAAACAAACCTTCAACCTTTAAAAAATAGTTTGAAGGGGAACTTTTTGGTACTGATATCATTTTTTCTTCAGATTTTCTCAACATTCAATCTGGATGCAAATGGTCAGGACATTGGAGGTTGGAGTGCACTCCATGAGGCAGCATTTGCTGGGCGAGAAGACTTCATCAAGCTGCTTCTTTCCAGCGGAGCAAGCATCAACATACAGAACAGTGATGGGGCCACGCCTTTATTTACTGCAGCACAATATGGCAAGCATTCTTGTTTAAAACTGTTGTTAAAAGAGGGTGCTGATGTGAATATTTTGACTGTGGATGGAGCATCACCTTTGTTTATTGCTGCTCAGGAAGGCCTGGTTGATTGCATGAACACCCTCTTGGCTGCAGGTGATTGTTTTTAACTGCTTTTACTCATTGTTATACCTGTAATCAGTAACAGCCCATTTCAAATTTATTCCTCACAAAGCAAGGTTAATAAATCTGTCGGAATTTACATTGCTCGTTGCTTCCACAAAATCACCAAGCAAAGACTAAGCTCCAATTGACCTCATTCAGTATAATGTCTCATGTAGGTGTATTTTTCAGTTTCCAAGCAACACTTTGATAGAACCAGTTGATATCAAGGAGGATTGGTCAGTGTTGTGTTGATTGTTTTTGTGGCCATTTTGGCAGTCAAGAAATGCTTTTGCCGATTAATTTCAAGGGCAAAACTATTTTACAGAGAACATTGGAATTGCGTTTCAGTTTGGCTTTTTACTGTAAAAACCTTGCTTTTCCGTGAAATCAGTACCTCACAACTTGCATTTTACATTATATTTACTCGGCCTTCAGTTTGCATTTGCACCTTTTTCTCAAGACTGAGTATCAGGCTCAGATTTTTAAGTAAGGGTCTTGGTGAGTCTTGGATTTCACCATTCGTCACCCCTTATTTTGTTGGAATTTTTGACATTATGCAGAGTCGCAACAGTCACTGTTTGTTGACAAATTGTACCAGAGCTAGGGAAAAAGCTAGGCTGTTCATTCCCAGATGGTTACAATGATGATTGACATCATTCCTTCGAAGCATGAATGCTTAATATGGACTTAATATGGATGAAGTAAATATTAGATTAGGGAAGCACATTCCTTGTGAAAACAAAGTACTTACTAACCTCCAAAGGTATGCAATAAAGGCATTTTTGGCAATAGCAAAGTTTACCTTTTGTTGGAAAAGTATGACCAAATCTTAGTTGGTAAATGATGAGTTAAGGCTCCAGACTATGCTAAACTGAGTCATTACCTTACGACGAAGATATCAAACAAATTTCTTCAGGGAACACTAACCATAATATTTTTGGTGATTTTTGAAGGCATAGCGGTAAAACTTGAAAAAGTTGACACAGTTTGTTCAAGTTTCAATACCTTTTTTTTTTTTTACTTTTCAAACTTTTATTAAATATTCCACAGCGTTACAATACTAACGTTACATGACATTGCATGATATTACGTTACGATTAATTACAATTACATTACATTACACTATGAACTTTAACTGTAAAGTAAGTTTCAATACCTACTAATTTTTGCCATCCGTAGCAACAGTAGTCTATGTACAACCGACCCTGTGGGGAGGGGGTGGGGGCGGCTGTACACATGCTATAGCAACAAACGGTAGCAAACAGTTTCAATACCTAAATATAGTCTTAAATAACAAAACTGGACCATTATTTTTGGAATACACTGGATGCAAAGACACCTTTTAGCCTTTCAAAATGTAGCAAATAGCGTATTGAAGCCTCTTTAATGAGCATGGACTAATCTAACGTTTGCTGCGTCTCGTAGGAGCAAGTCCAGAAACCTGCGTTATCGATGGAGCAACACCGCTACATGCCGCAGCAGAACGCGGGCACTCCGATTGCATCCAAATTCTCTTAAACGCTGGAGGCAGCTCATGCATAGAGACGAGCCCTGAGAAAATCACTCCGCTACATTTGAGCAGTCAGGAGGGTCATTACAAGTGCATGGAGTTGTTACTGACTGCGGGCGCTAACGTGGATGCGGCCACGCAGAGTGGAAACATGACTCCGATTTGCTTGGCTTGTCAAGGACACGCGGATTGTACTAGACTGCTCTTAGACTGGGGGGCAAATCCCAACCACATATACGAAGATGTAGATGTACTTCCCAAGACACCGCTGATGGTTGCGGTTGAGAGCGACTGCGCTGATTGCGTGAAAATCTTGGCGGAACGTGGCGCGGACACAAACATGGCAACTTACACGTCGCCTCTTGTTCTTGCGGCGCAGAACTCCTCTTGTGAATGTGCCAAGATTTTGTTGGACTTCGGCGCTGATCCCAATTACAGCGACCGAGGGAAGAACACTGCTCTGAGTATCGCAGTGACACGATTCTGTTACGGTCATAGTCACAAGTCCAAAAAAGCACAGCTTGAATGCATTAAATTGTTACTTAAGCTGGGAGCCAGTGTGGATGCTCTTCATGAAGGAACTTGCGTGGCGTTTAGAGACCCCATCGCTATGAAAGTGCAAAGTCCTGACTTGTTTAAGGTGTTGTTAGAGTTCGAGGGAAACAGGCAAGAAACGCGCGAGATTTGTCGTGCGAACTCTCGCGCGAAGAAAACAGACTTGAACTGGCGTAGACTAGTACGGCTGACGAGTTCTCCTCGTACGCTGCAGCATTTTTGTCGCCTGGTTATTAGAAAGAGAATTAACAGCAACCGTGTACAACGAATACCTGAATTGCCCGTTCCACCTTCTCTAAAACAATTCCTAATGTATTCGGACTTGTAGACAAAACTGTCATTTTCCTGAGTCTTGTGTTCTCCATTAAAACTTTTTGCGTTTGACCTGAAATCGCCCTTTCTCTAAAATTGGAAAGTTCTACGGTTCGGTAGTATAAGCCACGATACTAGAGACCTTTAGCTTCTAAGACGAGGACAGCTACGAGAACCAGACTTTCTCTTAAGACTTTCTCAAATACTTACTAGTGCGCGCGCGTGAACCAGCCTCATTTTGGCGGGAAAATGCTATAGCCGTCGTCACTTTACTACGAGGTTTAGCGAGAATGCAGTGGTGGAGACAGGTTATCAAATGTTGGAAGTTTTCTCACTTTGCGAGAAAGAGGGCTAAACCTCCTTCATGAAAATTAACCGTGTTAACTTTTCTGGTCAAAAAAGAGTAAAGTGAAGCTTTCCGGAGTGTTCATTTTTTGACAATACGTGAAAAATCTTTCCCTCGGAGTTGTCCTCTTCCTCGAATCTAAGGATCTCTTTCTACTGAGGGGTAACTTAAAATTGCAGTTTTTTTCCATAAAAATGGACGGCTCACACCGGGTTTAAGGCCATTTCATTTTATCAGCCTTCGAATGATGATATATATAGCAAGATGCTCAGTCACAAAACTAAAGACGATATTGTTCTATAAACGAACATTTTTTTCTCTTTTGCCATGGGCGTGTTCGGTATTCACGAGTTTGACGTGAACTTTGCAGTAGAAATTGCCTAAGAAAAGAGCAGACATTTGGAAACGCCCCCATTGGTTTCCTCGCGAAAAGACGTCTGGGAAACGATCGCAGAAATTCCATACTGATGACGTGTCACTACCAAGATCCTGACGGTGTTTGACATTGGTTGAGGCAAACTTCCAACCAATCAGAAGCACTAACCAGATCTGGGTAGTGACGCGTCATCAGTATGGAATTTCTTTGCTCGTTTCTCAGACGTCCTTTCGGCGGCGTCCTTTCAGTGGTGGGGTAGCGAAATGCCGGCTGTTTTCTCAGGCTACAGTAAAAAGTATAAAAACATTTTGATATTAAAAATAATCGAGCATATTGTAAATTGTAAATATCTTATTATCCACTCCCCTCAGGGCTTTTCAGAGATAATTTACAACACTTGTTGGGGGACTTTGCCAGACTGCTTAGGTGCAGTTTACAAGTAATGAAGGAATGAGTAATGATGCCCCCATACATGAGTGTGAAAGTGGGACAGACCACTACACCGGGCACTACGTGCCCTACTCTTTACGAAGAGTGTGTGGGTTCTTTAACGTCCCACAGATTTATTACATGTGCAAGGGCTTGTGAGACGGGGCCTACGGTTTATCGTCCTTATCCGAGAAAGTCTAACCGTTTGCAGATGTTATTACAAAGGCAGCATTTTCTCCTCAGTTATTTAAAGACTCGGAGTGTTGGTCCGGCTGGGGTTTGAACCCGCGACCTCCCACTCAGCAGACCGGCGCTTATCCCATTGTGCCTCCGAGAAAGTCTGACGGATAACTTACAAGAAAAATACTTAAGGAAAGAGAAGCAAATTAACAATTCAAGAACACAAAGAAACTATTTCTTAACCGGAAGTAAAACTCACCTAAACAGCATTTCCGGCACCTGTTGGACAATGGATTATTGTAATTATTATGTCCAATCAATAATTTAGGAGTGTGAAACCAATAAAGAAAGCACCAATGGTAACATGGCTCGCTTAATGGTTTGCTGTCGGAATTATATATACAATGGCCAAAGATGTCCATTAGAAACAACAAGCGTGTGATCGCATGAATAAAATAAACTGTTACTTGTTTGAGGACAAAAACGCGAAACGTTCCATAGAGATCAAGGAGATAATTTCAGTAGAGTTTAGCGGCATTGAAAGTTGTTGTGTACCACTTGCTAGCTTTACTCGATCCAAGTGTCATAAGATGAGAACGTACCTCTTCGAGAATGGACACGAGTCTCTAACCATTCGAGAAATTTTGATGACAAAAATTGAACTCGCAAAAGAACCAATCTATATCTAGTACGGCCGTTATGTACGCCTCATTAGTGCCAAACAGTTCTCAGACGACTGTCGAAACGACAGGTAAGTTGCATATACTTGAACTTTGCTGCCTTATTCTAGCAACGCGATCAGCGACGCTAGACAATTTAGCAGAAAAAACCTTGTTGTTTTTCTCGTGCGCTTCTCGTAAACAGAAGATCGCTAGCCTATGCAGTAATTTGTCGTTTCCGAATTGACAATATATGTTGTAACACATTTTTTTATATAGTAAAAATACAAACTGAAAAAAATTGTAATATTCGAATGACTGCAATAAAAGTAGTTTCTAAGTTTTATGTAAAACAAGTCGACTGCCAGGTGCAAGGAACAAATCTGAAGCTTGCCAGTTTCTCCTACGTTACTTGGAAATAGCCAAAATTTATACTGTTACAGGTTTTATCATGCCATGGCATTTGCCGACTACGATTTTGGTTATATAAAAAAAGCTGTATTCTGCGATGAGCCATAGTTCTGCATTTTTTTAATATCACCAAAAAAGTATCATTTCTGGACGCTTTGAGGTTTCTTCAGCTCGAGGGTGCCTCGAGAGCATATGGCATACTTTAAATTATTAAATATTTACACCTTTCTTTTGTTAAAGCATCTAATATATGCATTCAGATCTTAATTACTACCCCAAACTATATAACAACTCTCATGAATTCAGGATCATAACTTGCGATATCGCTCCTTCATTTTTCTGACTATCTCGTAAAATATTCGAAACTTGTTATAACACTTGTTGTATTTTCATATTCACGAGTAGAGTTAAAACAATTCTTGCCTGAAATACACAATGAAAGGATAAAATAGCCATTATAATTAGTAAATAATAGTGCTTAGGGGCTCAAAAACCAAAGTCTTATCTCTTGACTGGGGTCAAACAATCTTGGACTTTAAATTCCAGTGATTTTCCTATATGATTAATAAGAAATAACAAAAAATAATAATAATAATTTAGATTTTTCTTTCGGCTTTGTTTTCGAATGTCTTTTTGTTGTTAAAGAATTGAGGTATTTATTCATTGGTACGATTTTTTGGCAAGTCTTGGCTATCCCGCTAAGCGACGTAGCCTTTACCATCTTATGGATCTTCTACATGTAAGGAATTACGTAAAACAAAGAGATACTGCCGGAACCAATCAGAATTCAAATGTTTTTCGATCGGTTGAGTTTTCGTGGACCTTTCGGAACTAATCGACACCGTGCCGAAGTGAGGAGTTTGTGCCTCGTGGTCGCTTTGCCAGCTATTCGTGGCTGATTAGCCTTGGGCTTATTCCTCGCGAAACCGGGAGACGAACTTGGTCGGTTGCTTTCGGTGGCCATTTGCTTTTGAAAAAGCTGATGCTTTATTAGCTGTTGCCTTTTGTATTCATTACTGTTAAGAATTTTGAAATCCTTAATCTCATTTCCAGACCCCTTGTAATTTTTGAATATATAGTCTGGTCATTTTCTTTAACGATCACTTAAGATCACTTTTGCAAAAGTATGTTGAATAGCATATGAAACTTCAAGTTTATAAAATGCGAAAACTCACAATGTTTATCACCGCTGTTTGTGTTTTTTTTTGTATCAAACTACGATGGCCCAAGAACAAAGTCTCTAAGAAGAATAAAGGTTAGGTGAAACTTTTTCGAAAAAGTGATCCGGCCATCACCTTCGAAACTAGTTAGCCTGCATAGCAGACTTATGAGAGAATTGGGGGCAAAAAAAGACATGCTCTAGTCTTTAAGCGAGAACTCCACTATCGCGCGCAATAAACTTGCTTATCTTACAAATGAACATTTTAATGCAAAGAATCGCAAACGATTCTACTACAGGACGTAGGATCTACAAGAGATCTGATCAGTAAAAATATACGAAGTAAACAAAATCTGAAAAGCTGATCGTTCGTAAGACTTAACTTTGCAAGACATAAACAAGACACCGAAAGAACCCAAACAGAAAACAGAGCGGCGTCCCCCGGGGAGGGGGGCACTTGAGAACAGTTTGGGTGAAGGTAAGCCATCAAGACCTTCAGACCCCGTTTAAGACTGTAGACCAAATGCCCTGTTTAAGGAGATCTTTTCTTTTTAGATAGTATAAAATACAATGTAAAATGGGGGAAAAATATATTTATTTAATTTGTTTTGGAGTCACATGCAAAAAGATTTTTTTTTAGATTACTGACAAAACAAAATAAGATTATTTTAAAAAACTTCGTTATACCCGTATACTGCTCGCCGCCAAAATTCACACCCTGTTTAAGGCTTCGGGTCCAAACAGACACCCTGTTCAAGACGCTCAATAGTTAAATTATATACCCTGTTTAAGACTCATGACCCTGAAAAGTGAAAACCATACCCTGTTCAGCCGCAAATACCCATATAGGCCAAATGAGGGAGTCCCCCCGGGGGGTGGGGCTAGGGCTTTTGACAGCTGTTTTGTCATTGTGGCCCAAACTCACAATGACAAGTGATGGCGTGATTCGGTGGGTGAGACATGCAGCCCATTGTCAGGGCTTTTAACAGATTGTGCGGGTATTTTCTCGGTGGTTTTTCCGTTTGTTGCGCCCTTCTGATGAGCTACAATAATGGCGAAACAGCTGTCAACGGCTACAACTCCGCTCTGTTTGTGGTCTATTTCGTAAATGAGGTTGATGAGAACAAAAGAAACATTCTGGTGATAAAATGGCCTATTGCGGCCAAAAAAGCAGAAAAAAGAAAATGGAACGCTTTATAATTTGGTCCCAATGGAAATTCCGGGCAAATTTAGTCTATTTTGCCCGGGATTTTGCACGTATTCATGAAGTCCCAATTAATAGTCCACACTAAACTCGTTTATAATTTATAATCTCTTTAAGCTACAGATCCTAGCCTGAATTTCAGCCGTCTTCTCGAGCCGCAAACTCCCGAGAAAGTTTTTGGGTTGTGACTCAAGGAGACGGCAAAAATTCAGGTTTGATAGATCTTATTTTAGCAGCCGGAACTCTGAAAAAAACCCCGCCTTTTTGAATTGACAAACCACTCCATTTTGTTTTGCTAACTGACAGTTTTATCATGATTATCTACAAAACTATTGAAACCTCAATCTTCAATGTAAATAACAACAGCTTTTCGGGCCGTTATCGGGACGTTCGAGAAACGGGCTCCCGACCCGGGGGAGCGGTAGAAATCGAGCTTAGTTCCTATTCGAAAATAAGAGTTAAACGTAGAGGCGTAATTTTGATTTCTGTAATTTAAAGGACAGCGTTCGAGATGAAATCGAGAAACCATCTTCGCCTAGTTTCGCGTTTGGAGGAAAAATACAGGCAGCACTTAATCAAATTTCACAGTTGTGAGAAGCTCATCTGATTGGCTCCTGCCTCCTGCCTCCTGCAGGTACCAGTTATGGCATTTCAACACGTTGTTTAGAATTTGAAAGTTCGTTTCTTTTTATTCATCTAGTTTTTTTTATCGGTGAGTCGGATTTTTTTTCTGCAAAAAAGATACTGATTTTATCTAGAGTAAGAAAAAAGTACTGATTGGTACCGCGCGCTGCAGGCGCTGACGTAGTCTGGTCAGCAGCAAGGTACATCTAGCGATAGGCACGCCATGTACGGTGTGGAAAGGGCTTATGGAAAGGGCAGCGGGGATTTGTTACGCATGAGCGGTTCGATGTTATTTATTACCATCGTCTTTTGAGGAAGAAGTTACAGTTGCAGCCGTCTCGAAAGTAAATTGTAGGTGTATGCATATTGTAGTGTTGAAGCAGGTTGAAGTAAGAGAAGATACTTCTGAAAAAAGGCAGAATTGGGTACTAATCGCTTTTTTTAATGCAAAATTAAGCCTTTCGATTCTCTTTATCATCAGATTCAGGAAGCCGAAATATGAGGCACCTGTACTACTATAACAACAACGATGGTGGAGGTGAGTTATTATTTTTTGCTACATATTTCTAACAGCACAGAACAATCAAGAGAAGGTGGCAAATTGTACTTTACTCAATTTTCCAATCACCTGATTCACCATTTTCAGATTGCCGATGATACATCTTGTTGTTTGCTTAAAATTTTGCATAAACTGCTCAATGTTTTCAATACCTGGAACAGGGTATGCAAAAGTTTAGGGGAACACGAGGTGGTGTTTTTTTGCCTGCAAACTGATGTAGTCTGCTACACAGCCGTTTTTAGTGTCGTCACGCAACGTTTGTGGGGAGGAGTGTTGCGTGACAATGCTAAAAACGACTGTGTAGCAGACTAAAACTGATGACTGCTTCAAGGTTTTTGAGAAGGGTGTTATATCTTTTATGTCACAGACATGGGACAAAGAAAAAAAGGGTAAGTCCCTAATGGGATGGAAACCCTTGACATCCCAGAGTACTGCTAGAGTGTCTAGTAGCCTGCCTGAAAGGGTGGGTAGAAATCAATCCTGCTAAGACCAAGAGAGGATAACGTATCCTTTTATCCTCTCTTTGGTGAGAACACAATGGACGTCCTGCTCCTTTTCTCCTAAAGCAAGATTTTTTCATTCTCCTGCAACTTTTTGAAGTGGTTTTAGCTTTCCAAAAAATAATAGATTTTTAAAGAAGAACTCTTGAACCTCCAAGATTGCTTTAATTCATTTGACCAAGAGAGTCCATCTTCAAGCATGAGACAGGCAAGGCAAATGAAAGAAACTAATAAACTAAAATACTAACAATAAAATTCATACAGTAATAATAAAACCATGCCTTAAGCATGCGTACAGCTGTATCTTCCGAAATGTCGAGAAGAGATGACACCTCAAAACGCGCGGTTGATTTGAGATGAGAAAAAACAGGGAAAGGGGATGTTTCTGGAGTCCGTTTTTGCACATTTCTCTTTCTTTTTCTCTGACTGTGTGTCTGGCAGTAGATATTCCATTCTTGTCCGAAAATCAAAGAAATAATAAGTGGCTGTAGGAATTTGCAACTCTAACCAAAAAAACACGACAATTTAAATGAAGATATGATTGTAGCAGTGGTAATTGCAATTTAACTAATAAATTGCAAATTAACCCGAAAAAATTTCGGGACTTCAACTTCTTTATTTACGTTTGTATTTCTGCACATCTCATCATCTTCAAAAAAACGACAATGTAAAGTCAATAAATATTCCTCTTAAGCATGTATGGTTAAACAAGGGTTATTTGAGAGTGCATGAGGATTGGTGAGGGTATCTGAAAATGTGAAATCACTGTGTGAGAGAGAAAGAGGGAAATTCCATACACTGCCATGAGTGAAACATGCTGGTTTAAACTCTTACAATGTGTACATGAATCACCAAAAGGATAAAAAAGTCCAGGCAACACGAGAGAGCTAGAGGTTGAAATACACCTTTATTTAGTAAACTCGAACCTGATTGGCTGGATGCAGAAATGCGATTACTAGTAAATAGGCCACTTCTGAGTTCTAGAAACTCTCACTTTCAAAACGAGGGTCAGTGCAGAACATTTCTTGTGAAAATGAGTTTTATTTGCATGAGAATCGAAAATACTTTTCATATCAATGGCTCTGCACTTAGCCTCGCTTTAACCCTTTAAGCCCCGGTATCCACATACAAATCCTCCAAACTGATCTCCATACAGAGAGAATTGAGAATTGAGTTGAGAGAACTTGATAATAGATCAAGGCAGTTTCTCTTGAGTGATCATTTTATTAATTCTCATAACTTATATCTGGACAGTGTATGGATATTGTTAGGAGAAAATTGATCTTGGTCACTACTGGGACTTAAAGGGTTAATAAAAAAGGCTTGGGGCTACTCGGAAATAGCCTATTGCCAAATATGGGATTTAGAGTCGTGTCACGTGACTTTAAAACTAATAAAAATGACAGCAGAAACAGCCTCACAGGAAAATATCACAATTATGGCTTATGAAAGCAGAAAAAGAAAAGGAAAGATTGCCAACCACAATGAGAATCTTATACCGCGAAAAGAAAGTAGCAATATACTTTTGAATAACAATTGATCGTGAGTAATGAAAAATATTAAGTCGTGGAACCCTTAACAGTGCTTCTTCGTCTACTGGCATATGCTTGATCAAGTTGCAATTTAGAAATTTGTTTTTTTTAAATATGTATGTTCGATAAGTAACCTTTGATTAGTTTTGCTCTTAATTGCCTTTTTCTCGCGTCTGAACGTTCCGGCATGCAGAGAAAAATTTGGTTGGCTAACCACAAGAAAGAAATATCAAAGACTTATACAAGTTCAGTTACTTACGAACAACATAGATCAAAATCCGCAGAGAAAGATATTTTTTGCAGTGCTAGCGAAAGAAAGAGAGTATCTCATAGAAATTCAAGTGTAATCGAGGCCATATGGTTATTCATGACTTCAGGAATTGTATCGAGTAGCTAGGGTTCGGGCTCGTTTATTGAATTAGAAAGCACCATTTAAGAAGATATTGGTTCTTTCTGGTTTAATTGTTTCTTAAGGATGGTGTTTGTAAGTAAGCTAAAGGTAGTATGCCGCGACCATTATAGGTGAACTTAGTCTTAAGTTCTAGAAGAGAGCGGGCGTTGTTAATTCCAAACGCCAATTTGATTCTAGAATTGAGCGGTTTTTGTAATATGATTGACTTAATACCATTTAATCGGTGTTCATTTGTCTATTTAAGCATTGTGGTCGAGAAGCAGATCTTTCTAGAAAGCAGTTGATTTGTTAGTTTTTTCTGCCTATTTCCTAAAGACATTCGGGTTTGCAGTTGATTGTAGTGTCTTATTAATTCAAGGTCGAATAAAACAGAGTTGTGCCGTGAAACACTAATCCAGCAGCGCTTAGATTTGTACAAACGTTATCCACTACCAGGGTGCCAGGCCAGAAAATTGTTCTTAAATAACCAAAGTTATCAATTCAGAACGATAGTGTTTAAAAATATTAAACCAACAGGTATCAATATATGAACATTTAACTTCAGAACGGAATCCTTTAAAGCGGTTTTAGAGATAAAATTAGGGTTTCGGAATCAGATTCTCTGTTGAACATCTATCGGATTAAAAGTCGACGTTAGACAAAGAAGAGTTTTATTGAGTTAAACTGAGAACTTCTTTCGATCTTTGCTTTTTAAAAATATTTCTGGATATTAACTTTCCTACACTAAGTAAACAGAGGATTTGAAACTTTGAAAACAATTTTTTCTAACATTATCGATACCGACAGTAGGCGCAATAACTCAGTCGTAGGCCGATTAAACCTGAGTAGATACGGCTTGTTCAGTCATCTGTACGCACACATGCAGCGCTGTTGTTAAATAGTATGTCGATTTTTACCATCAAGAGTCTGAACATTATTAGAAGCTATTTTCTGACGAAAGTTCAAGGTCGCACCCGAAAGCGATTCCCCTGCAGGACGTCGTACTATACGTAAGTCTACTGCCATGTTGTAACCCTGCGTTTATTGTTTCGAAACTGCTCGGATATGAAAAATACTTGTTAGTTATCGTTCGCTCATTACCCGGGCTGTTGTGCCATGATCGATTATTCACAATCCCTGCGACTAGGAAAGCGAGCTAAGCTAGGTAAGACAGCTTTTCTTTCCTTTTTTACTAACAGATTTTTCACTTTGCCAGTTACCCAGCGTCAGTATATTGTGCGTGGTTTATATCCCTTCTTTATCTCTTTGCTCTCATCATAAAAGTATTAAGTTTGCAGATATGCTGGATACCAGTGTGTGGAAAAGAATATATAGCTTAATCATTCGACACACAGTCTCGACAGTTCAATAATAATTATTTCGCCAGCGTAGCTGATTGATTATTCTCCCGTCAAAACTCATCTCGTTTCCCCGTCGGCTTTTTATTTACTTAAGTTCAGAGCATTTGTCGTTTTATCAGTAGAATATTATTTGTTTTATACTCGGCACCTGTCGCGTCAACAATGTATTACCGATTGAATGGAAAATGCTTTTTATGCTGGTCCAAACGAAGAATTAAGATCGGTCTGAATTTTGGTTCAGCGTTCGGGGTTTCATGTTCTCTTCTTTTTCTTTTTCTTGCTTTATTCGTGTGTGTAGGCCTGAGCAGAAATAAAATGACTTTTCAGATCGTTCGTTTTTAATGTACAAAACTTTATGAAGAAAAAAAAAACAAACAAAACAAAACAAACGCCCCCATGTCGAATCAAATTCCATCAGTTTTTTCGCGGACATCAATAGAACGCATTGATCAAAACGTCTGCTACGAAATCGGGTTTTATCTGAGCCGACCTGCCCCCATATCTACAGCAATTATCTCAAAACATCGCCTTTAATATTCCGTCAGCTAACTCGGAGTAAACGTCAGTCCATTTGTTAGTTTAAGTAGACTGTTTTGGTTGAATAGCAGTAAAAGTTTGTGGACCCAGGATTTCTTCAAATTGCATTCCTTAGATGACGTGTTTTTTTTTTTTACCTTAAGTTTTTCTTGGAAATAAAAACAATAATGATAACAATAACAACTATTCAATACTTTTGTATTTTTCGTTGGCTTGTCTTCATGACTTGACCTTGTAAGAGAGGGATATTTAAGCTTCGATAACCCATCTTTGGCATTTAGCCCTGTGATAGTATTGATTTTGACAGCAAGACCGCAATTCTGTTTGGCTTTAATTTGACCCTCACATGGCTGTTTTCTCACAGATTTACTTCAAAACGAAGTGATTTTGCTATTTTTCTACCGCGGGGGGCCTTATTATTCGATCACAGAAGGTAGCCATTCAGCAAAGAATTCCCTTGGTTCCATATCAGGGGGAACGCGTGGGTTTTAGCAGAGATATGAGTGACTGTCATTTCGGCCTAATCGACAAAAGCTGCAGACACGAACCGCAAATTATTGAGCGGGGCTTCGTACAACCGAAAAGTGGCGTTTGCCTTAAACGTCAAAATTAGCTTCAATTGGCCGAAATCCCGAAAACACGACACCTGTGTTATTCGCCTTGAGAGAGAAACTGCGGTTGTTTACAATGAGAGCGCGCCTTCGTCTCATAACTCTTTTATGAACTGTATTTCCAATGTGGTCTGTCATTAGCAGGTTAAAAAATTCCATCAGCAAGCGAATGAAACCACAATTGCTATTTGCTTATCGTGGGGGTGGGTCTTAGTCGGTTGTTCGACAGCCGGTGGTCCTCGCAGCGCTCGCAGACAAATCTTGAACCAGATTTGACTGAATTTCTTTGTTTGCAAGCGTTTTCGCTGTTAAGTTTTTATCTCTAATTCGAGGGCGGCCTCACAACTGGAAGAACTAGACAAAAATGACAGGAGTTTTATGATTTTAATTGTGGTTCTTATACAATCGGCCTTGATCTTGGGCTTCTCATAACCTACGGCGTGAGACAACCAGTGGTCCTTGGGCGGTGAATTTAACTTACGTGTGTATATATGGGTAAACTGTACAACTACTGATAAGACAAACAAACGATTACAAACAGAACAACAAACAAACGGCATAAATACACTCGCACACACGCCGGAAAACAGTTATTAATTTAGCCTTCTTCAGTGACGCCTTTTAAAAGTTGCATAACCGAACAGGAACTAGGAAGAACAACTAGGATGTGGAGAAGAGTGGTTGACCTTGGATGGAAAGGGACCCTTTGCACTCATTTTTAAGAGCAGAACATTTTGCTATCTAATAAGCGTCAAATGCAATGCATTAGCTAAGTAACATTCTTCAGCTAGCAAAATGCCGTTGCCAAGAAGCTAAAACCTCCTCCATTCAAAAATCAATTTATCGTGTGTCAAGAGGGGTTTGTCCTTTGTGGCGAAAGTTTTTTTGTCTATAAAAACTGTGACCTAGGCAGGTGAATATGATTTTGAAGATACCCGTGTTTCTGTAGTCTTTCTTTTCCTGCCTTACGCAGATCTCCAATCTGTCCAATCAGTTGTTTTGGCTCCCTTCACCAACTGTATGTCGGTAATAGCTGTCATATTTATGTATATTTGAGACGATCTTTTGCATATTTTTTGCTCTATCACAACAAACCTTTTGACTCAAAACTGCCTCATCTTTTCGCTCCAGCGGCCACAGCAAAGAGATTTTTGATGCCGGCGCAAAGTGTCATTCTCCAGAAATATCACATTTGAAACTCGTCGTCTCACGGGGAGATAGACGGGTTTGTTTTGGTTCTGTTCGCGTCGAGAGCAGCAGGTTTTCTATCATTGCTGTTACTATGCAAATTACACTCAGTGCTGTGCATATGTGAAAGATTCAATTCCCCGAGTCGCGCGTGCCCAATGAAATCCTGGGAGCGACATTTGTGACTATTCCATACTATCTCTGTGTCGCTGGTCTAGAAGAATGTCCCATCGATAAGATCGTGCGCTTTACGAGGACTATAATCTCTGACTGATTAGAAAACCAACCTGTAGGCGCCAACAGTCGATTGTAAATTCCTGCATTCGAAAGAACTGATTCGCTCTGCTCAGCGCCGCGTCTTGGATGAAGTTGGAAGACGTCAGCCCCGTAACAGAGATCGCAAAGAGAGAGAATTCCCGAGATTAATATTGTCTGAATGTGACCACGTGTCAAGAACGTCGTATTTCGACACCGACACAATGACTTTGGAGAAACTGCAATGAAAACTGCGAGCACAAAGTGGCATTTATGGCAACATGTTTTTTGACTCACGGCTCTGAGGTGTCATCTCGACTCGCGAGTAACTCGAACATTGTTATCTGGGGCCTCGCGTCCGCCGCGTTTGTTTCATTATCCCCTATGTCAAATGGAATCAGAGTTCTTTTTCCTCAAAACGTGACCCACACAAGTAAGTTCTACGGCTTTCGGAAATCGTATGTTGATTTAAGAGTAGCTATTGCTAACAGCGTTATTACACAGCTCGCGAGTTACTGCTAGCCTTCTCAAAACATCTGCCAGTAACTCAAGGCGGCCAAGTAAATTTACAGTTTTTATCATACAGTTAACGCCAAGTATGGATTTGGCAATTGGATGCGAAATTATATCACGACATCTGTGTACTATGGATTAGCGAGAAGCCGTCAAACTCTTGCTAATAACAGCGAAAACATTTCTACCTCTAGTATGTTTATATCCCTTATTTACATTTCCTGTTTATTGAAGGCGACGTGATAATTTATTCAGTGAATTAATAAATTACAAGTTTAGATCGAAAAGGAATCAATAATTTATGAGAATCGGGCCCTTTCAGTATCTGAAGCGGGACGTCTTCTCAAATTTTAAGTTTTCTCCTCTTATTTACAATATTTTTCTCGCAAAAAAGGAAAAATGTGGCGGTACGGTCGAAGGATTTACCGGGTTCCTCAGAGAAATCCCCCTCCGGCTAGTACTTCATGCCAGTTATTAATCAAATGTTTCAATCCGGACTTTAGGTTCGCCGTATTTAACAGATCGTAAAGTGGAGATGGACGGTCCGCCAGGAGTGTCAACGGTTCCTGCAACTCCTGATAAACTACATCAGAACTCTGTGAACTTTGCTCCGGGGAACAACATCACAAACTCCCCAAACAAGCGCCATTCGGCCCGTGACTCGATCACTTTGTCTGGTATCAAGACTCAAGTGGAACCCCTTCTAAACGAACTGAGTGGCGACAGATTCGTAATAAACGTAAGTGGCTTGAAATTCGAAACACACGTTCAGACCTTAGAACAATACCCGGAGACCTTACTAGGCAATCCAGGGAAGCGACGCAAGTACTTTGATTCTGTCCGGAATGAGTATTTTTTCGATCGCAATCGACCTGCCTTCGATGCAATTTTATTCTACTACCAATCAGGGGGAAAGCTTTTGCGCCCTGCTAATGTGCCCATGGATGTTTTTGCTGACGAAATTCGCTTCTACGACCTCGGCGAGGACATTTTACACAAGGTAGAGCAGGAAGAAGGGTATATTGAGGAGGAACAGCCTATTTTACCTGAAAATAAATGGCAGAGAAAGATCTGGCAACTATTTGAGTTTCCTGACACTTCGTTAGGGGCGCGTATTGTCGCAATTTTTTCTGTGTTGGTGATCACTCTATCAATAGTGACATTTTGCGTCGAAACACTGCCGCAGTTCAGACAGGAGGACAGTGGAGAGAAGAAGAAACAACCTTGGTTTACTCTAGAGACTGCGTGTATAATATGGTTCACATTTGAATACGTAATGAGATTAATATCGTCTCCTCAAAAACTGGTGTTTGTGCGCTCGTTTCTGAACCTCATTGATATAGTAGCTATTTTACCTTACTACATAACATTACCTATGCAAGACACCAAAGCCTCCAGCTTCGGCGTGTTGCGGGTGATTCGACTGGTGCGCGTTTTTCGAATATTTAAATTATCGCGACATTCCAGAGGACTGCAGATTCTAGGGCACACTCTACGGGCGAGTTTGCGGGAGTTAGGACTTCTAATTTTCTTCCTTCTAATCGGCGTTATTCTCTTTAGTTCGGCGGTGTATTACGCGGAAGGTGGAGAGGATGAAACCAATTTTAAGAGCATTCCCGATGCTTTTTGGTGGGCAGTGGTTACTATGACAACCGTCGGTTACGGTGACATGAGGCCCATCACGGTGTGGGGAAAGATCGTAGGATCGCTTTGCGCCATTTCCGGTGTGTTGACGATCGCGCTTCCAGTGCCTGTAATCGTATCCAATTTTAACTACTTCTACCATCGCGAGAACGAACAAAGGGCGGCCGAACAAAGCAAGAAGGAGAAAGAACGCAAAGAAAGCGAAAGACTTCTGAAGGAGCAACAAGAACAAGAACAAGAACGCAAATATGGCGCCATCGACCACAACGGGATGAACGGCCCGGAATCGACTGGGGTCGAAATGGAGATGTTAACTTCCCTGGATAACATTCCTTCAAACATGACGGCAAATAAACACAAGGCAAACACGGCAGTTGTGTCTAATTCTATGCCGCTTGTGGACTACCCTGACGCTACCATACGATTTGAAACGGGGGTGTGATGTCAGGCGTGCCCCGTTTATTGTTATTTAATTTGGAGGCTTTTGAGGGAAGATTGGGAGTTGTGCTACAATGAGATCCATCAGATAAGAGCTCAGTGTCGAGACGAAGAAATAAAGAGCTAACTTAATACCAGTAAGTCGCCCTGCGGTACATCTCTGGCCGATGCACGCGTAATTTCCTTACGGCTCTGTTTGCTCCGCAGCGTGGAATAGTTAGGAGGGAGAGAAACCATAAACCAAGCCAAGGAATGGCATCTTGCCGAAAGATTTAACTTACAGTTTTCTCAATATTAAATGGCGATCACTTGCTGTTTGCCCGGCGAAAAGAAAGAGAGAAACCAAACTTTTAAGCTGTACGCTGCTTAAATCCAAAGAAAAACAACTTTAATAAACGATAAATCGAGCCGTCGCTCCGAGATGGCGTATTCATTTTTTTATATTATAAAATTCACTGATTTATAATTGATATAGTAATACTAGGTGGCACAATGCTTCGGCTACGAACGAAAAGCCAAACAGTGTTTTTTTTTAGTTTGAATATGAAAAGAACTAAGGAATTCGCTCTGAAATGAGCTAAAATTAGTTACTACGGTCAAAAACAGAGTTTTCAACAAGAAACCAGCAGCTCAAACTTATATTTTTTGGCAACAAAGTTGTCAAATTCTAGTGGATTTTCTTTGAAACCCAGGTACAAATTAATCGTCGTGAATTCCTGGTTACATTTATTTTCAGTTTGAGACATTTTTAGTTTCCTTGCGTCTTTAAACGTCGAACAAAGATTTTTCGAATGGCAGGGACTAAAAACGCGTTAACTAAAGCGAACAATTTTCCTTAGGCGGAGAAAGTTGGTGTGTTTCCAGGCGGTGATGCCCGTTTGAATTTTTAGATGGTTTAAACAAGATTTGTGGGCAGAAGTCACCGTCCAATCAATCTATCAAATGTAAGTTATTCTATTTTAAAACGCACAACTATAAAATGAAAACAAGCGCTGTGAAAGGACATAGATTTTAAAAGAGCTCTTACGTCGCTTCAGTTGTTGACGCGAGGAAACTTATAGTCGGTAGAAATTTGAGCGAACCTACCGGACTATTAAAAAAATACTGAAGAGTAGAACTATTCGATAATATAATTTTAGGTAGGAAACAGCCAAGACTAATATATACTTGTCATTTCAGCACTATGAACTGAATGCGTTATTGAAATAAAATTGATTTGAATTTATAGCTCCATCGGGAAATTTGACTGAGCAGTATAATTTGCAAGATACTATTTAAGTCTTAAGGAATTTGACCAGAAATCTGGCGTGAAATGATGGATAGCAATTGTGACAGCTTTGATATATTTTGTGTTGTTTATGTTTAATTTCCTTACCGACATATAGACTACGAGTTTTAACACGTTCGAGGAGTAATTCCCCATTTAAAAAATATAATTTTCTTAGTCGATTGAGATTGTTTTTGTCGTTATAATTTTTTATTGACAATGAAATTTTGGCGACTTCTACTATAAGCGCCTGAATTGAAAGTGTTGAAGAAAATAGGGCACTTTTGTATCGGTGCAAATTAGAACCATGTTTTTCAATTTGTTTAATGTTAACACTAGGTTTTTTTCTTCTGATTAAATTCACGGCAAGCTCAGTGCTAGGCGATTGGCTTTGTTATAAATTGTACCCGTTTCCGAAAACCTTCCCATATTTTCATTAGATTCAAATTGTTTACATGTACTTTAGTCACGTTCTTGAATATTCTTGTTAGCTCAATCGTCTTTTTATATGTGTGTTCTGTCTTTAACTTTCTTTCAAAAATTGTTTGATTTAAGAGAATAACAATCGAAAGACACAATTCGATATCATAGGTGAAAAAAGAAAACAACAAAATAAAGCCGTAATTGGAAAAGTTTCAGTTATTCTTTCGAAGCGATAACTTGTCGTCTATTTAAAAGCTATATCCCAAAGTCAATTTGCGAATTTCCAAATCTTTTAATGTTTTGTATCTCGGATCGGTTTCAGGTAGTTACCAACTACATATGCGAACCGCGAACTTACCTGAACTTATCGGCGTTTATACAAAGATGAACCCCAGCTGGGAAAATAAATTGGTTTTATTTAACTTTTTTCGTGAAATGCCTGTTTTTTATCTGCAGGAGACTGTATTGTACTGACCCAGAGACTTCGCTTTCCTCGTGTCGAGATATATGAACAAACTGAATTGCACGGATTACCGAGGAGAAAAAAAATCTTTCTCGTTCTGTAGCCTCCTCTGGACATCCTACTTAAAAAATGCCTCCGTTTTTCGCATGAGATTTATTTATTTCTTAAGTGTAACTACCAAGTGGGAATAACAATGTTTCATTATTTATAATTTGAACGTAAACGTATAGCTTATCTGATGTGTATTTTACAATATTGGTGATTTTCATTTTTGCGTCCAAACTCTCATTCAACGAGCGTATTTCTTATCCTTTATTTTTGTTCCAACTCGATTACATAACGCTGAGAACGCGAAATGCGGCGAAATTATTTTCGATTGTTACAGCGTGAAATTCAGTTTTAGCGCCAAAAATGCGACACGCAAATCATCACAGCGGAATTCTTTGTCTTTCTTCGCAAAAGAACGTTGTTTGCCTTATGACCTGCCGAAAAAACACAATAGAGACAATAATAAATGCCTCTTTTGTGCTTACGTAAAATCTGAACTGTTGAAACTGGCTGGGTTTGTTTCCATTGGGCGAAGATAAATTATCTCCTGGGAACTCAAATTCATACGGTGAACAATGCGGACAACCGCTCGAGCAAAGTCAGTAACCATCTGGCCGTCATTTGGATTGTATAGAAATAAATAAATGGTGAATCAGTAGGTACTTGAACTACCTGCTATAGATAAGCTGGACTTGAAAATTAATTTTCAGGGGAAATACGTACGGGTTGCGCAGTGAATTCAACACAGAAATCGGGCGTCTCAACACTCAGGGGCGGATCCAGGATTTTTTTCAGGAGGGGTGCACTCGTCTCTTGCTCTACTTCAACAATAGTAAACCACACAGTTTTTTTACCAGTTGTATTAGAAAACCGCAGGTCATCTCAGGGGGGTGCACCCCTGAACCCTCGCCCTAGATCCACCCCTGGCACTCCCTACTTATGCTCTGCTTAACAGGTATATTTCATTAGATTTTTTTGCTAATTCAATTTTCGTATAACTTTTGGTAGATTCCCCGCCTCCGATCTGTTCTCTCCTCTGCCCTGACAATGCTTTTGCCTAGGAACCTAGATATAACGAAGTACCAAGGGACCGGCAAAATTTGTTTACTATAATGAGTTTTCGTTATATCGAGGTTCCACTGTATTGGACTCTAAGAAGTAGTTCTTCGTCGAGAGAGTCAAGCAACATCAAGCATGAACACAGCCTGTTATCACAAACGTATTGTCTTTTAACTGTCGGTGGATATACAATATAGAGGCCTTTTGTAATCGCTTTTAATAGTAGTTGACCTGGACATTTTTTTCTAGAAACATCTCAACTCTCCATGTTAAATTAAGAAAAATTTTGCAGTGGAACGCGATTTCAATCTGTCAATCAGCTTAGAAGCATCCGCTTCTTTTATGTACATTAAATTAAAGTATACATCCAAGTAATAAGCTTATTTTTTTGCCGTGTACTCTCGACGTTTTCATCTTTAATCTGGTTTATAGTTGATCAGCTTTATTCCGGTTTTCGACTCTTTTAATATAAAAAAAGGGACACAACACGTACTCTTTCCGTTTTTTTCAGTTCCCTTATTACAAAATATAGACAAAAAAAGTCGCTCCCTCATAAAGAGGAGGCGAATGATCACTCAACATAAAAACTGCACACAAGTTGCGCTTTGATTCTAAGAAAAGGAAATATAGTTCATGTTTATGCCATGATTCTTTCTCTAGTTTTTAATTTTAATACATTGGACAAAATCCAATTTTGTCTAATTTATTAAAATATTAAAATAGTCATTTACAAATGAATATCTAAAAATGTATAACATGAAGTATATTTTAAAGATATTTAAATATAAATGTCTTCTTCCTTCGACCTCTCGCGGAGTAATGAATATGTGTCTGTTTTTTTTAAAGATTCTATGGTAGCGTCTTAACAGTGAAATTTATAGGCCCAGGCGTCATTGTAAAGTTCAGTTACAGTTTGGCAAACTGATTCGAAATAAATATTACAAAGACGTACGAATACTATATTTACTCGAGAGAGCACCGCGGCGCTTTTTAAAGGGCGGGCACTTATTTAAAGCCTATTTGCGCAAGACAAAGCACTTTGTAATATTTTTGTCTCTTTTTTGCTTTATCAAAAAACGATAACAACAGCATGTGAAGAACGTAAAGTTTTAGAATTCTTTCTTAGCCGTATCAGTGTTTCTTTCCAGTAAAATAAAAACCAAAACAGCAATAACAACATCGCCGTCATTAGCATTTCAGCATTAACAATAAATCAAGAAAGGAAGAACCAATAGGCCCTGCGTTGTTTCTAGCGGAATGCGGCGCTTATTCGGAGGAAGCGCTCTTTCGAGTAAATTGGTTTTGTATATGCAATTACTTTCACCCAGTATGCGACCGTAGGCCAGAGCGCCCTAACAAAAAAACAAATTTGATTTCTCTTATCTTCCCGTCATTCCTTATTAGTCTTGTCAGTGAGGTTATGCGGGAGACTTCCATACGGTAGAGAATGTCGCTTCTTCCGTGTTGCGGTGGGTCAGTTCTACGTTCTTTGTTAAGGGTAGAGCGCAAACCTTAATTTTCTATGAGAAAAGACCAGATCCTAAACTAATCGCACATCAGTTGCCGATCTTAAAATTTCAGTAACCCCTGCAATAATTAAGTGCCACAAGGTAAGAATCAAGTTGTTCTGTGCAATTTCTTGCTTGGTCATCGGAAACCAAGAATTAGATATGTCGAAACAACAAACATTTGGCGCCGATACAGTTGGTTATAGTTATACGAGCTGGAATAAAACTATTTTATCGTCTGTTTTACGATGCAATGTTTTTTTTTTCTGTTTACTGCCAGTCTTCCAGCCTCGTACCCAGGCCTGTTCGCGCTATCCGAGTGACCAGAGGAGGCTTGGAACCGAGCGCGATAGGCGAATTTTCCCGACAAGCTTGACAGGTGACGTCACATCCGAAATCGCCGAGGACGACTGGGAACGAGGCTGCCAGGCGCTCAGATCAACTCAAAACACGAGGCGTCACTGCTGTGATGGTGATTTCCGATTGGTGTATTTTAGATCAGAGTTTCGCTCAATGTAAGGGAATCCAGATTTCGGAATCCAAGAAATGCTTGCCTGTAGAATCTGGAATTCCGGGGCTTTGGAATCTGGAATACAGCTTAAGGAATTCGGAATCCTACTAAAGACTGGGATCGAGAATCCAGGTTCCAAATGACAAAGAAATCCGGAATCCACGGCGTGGAGTCCAGAATGCAAGACTGTCTTGGATTCCCTTACGTGGGGCGAAAAGTTGGAGAGGCCCGAAGGAGCTACCCTACGTTGCAGCCGGTCTCGTCACTCGAGACCTAGATCAGAGAGATCTATATCGGGGATTAATAGACTGTCTGCGACACAGGCTAGGGGAACTTGCTATGAAATGGCTTATGTGCTCATCTCAATTAGAAAAAAAAAAACAAGCTACTGTTCAGTAGCAATAATCGCTCTGAGTAACAAAGTGTTCCCGGCCGGAGGTTTTCAGGCGAGACACGCGCTTTCCCCTGTCACGCGTGTCTCGCGCTCCACGCCTGCTTCGTGCTCGCCTGAAAACGCGAAAAAATAGCGCCTCTTCTGCAGGTTAGCGAATTCAAGGTTACAAGAAGGTTACCACAAAATCATAGCTACAACCATTCTTGGCATGTTGCAAGTGTTTATTTTGTATATTTACAATGCTTTCAATTACAAACGCTTCCGCGTTGAAAGCTTCACGGAGACTGGAATACTCAAGTTCACATTGCACAGTTTGTCGATCATGTTTTGCTAATGTTACCACAAGTATTTAAGCGACATTTGAATTGTCAGATTCAAAAACGGAAAGAAACATAAATGAATGATGGTAGTGTTAGTAAGGGTATCATCCTTGCACAATGCCCTACTTTCATCAAGAGTAAGAATTGAGGAGCAAAAGGGAGACTGTATCTGTGGCCTTCACGTTCGCGTATCTTGGTCCACCTGTGGTCTGTTTCTCGAAAGTCCTGATAATTACCGGGCCCAGACAGCTGTTTTTGTTTACGTTCAAGATCGAGTTTTGCAGATAAAATGATAAAATTATGAAACAAAAGATACAATGATTTGTAAGCTACGGCCCGGAAATTTATTCTTTAGATCGGGCCTGGGGCCCGTTTCTCGAAAGTCCCGATAATTAACGGGCCCGGTAAGCTGTCTCCGTTTACAGTAAAGATTGAGGTTTCAATAGTTTTGCATTTAACATGATAAAATGATGCAAAACTATTGAAACCTCGATGTTTAATGTAAACGGGGACAGCTTACCGGGCCCGTTAACCATCGGGACTGTCGAGAAACTACCCCCTGGGTCCTGTTTCTCGAAAGGCCAGGTAACTTTTCGGGTGCAAAGGTAAATTTTGAAATCAAAACCAGTTGAATGGTACCACAGTTCGTAGCTCAGAAACCAGTCAACTCGTTAACTGATAGTTTCATTGTATCACTTTCAAAACTATTGAAATTTTGATCCTAAATGCAAACACGGCAAACCTAAAACAGCTTTCCGGGCCCGAAAAGTTATTGGGACTTTCGAGCAACGGCCCAGAAACCGAGTGGCCGCGCGTATTAAAAGCTCTCGCGAGTAAGCAGGGGGAGAATCTGGAGATGAAGCTTGGTCACTGTTTACATTGTTGTGTTTTGCGATTGGCTGAAATGTCCTGCTCAACGCTCTAAACCAATCAGAGGTAAATTCGAGCCAACGAACCAATCGTGGCCTAGTTTCTAGTCTTCCCGTGTCAACAGCCAGCTACACATATTTGTTTCAAGATCTGACTGACTTCTTGCCTGTCTGCTTGTAACGCATATTACAGAAATAAGTGGAAAGATCAACCGAAAACTTTGGTGGAGTAACAGTGTAAAGCTATTTGACGAGTGAATTTCGATTATCACAAATTTGGTATTTTTTCCCTACTAGTTCTCTCCCGCGAATACGTATGTACAGTGTACAAGGAACGTGTTGGTATGAAAAACCAGTTGGTGCGGCGAAAAAATGACGAAAAACGCACGCAAGCACATATGATGGTATTACATTAAAAAATAATAATAGTAAAATAATAAAGGTGAGGCTAAGATATATTCTAAAACAAAACCTAAAACCATCAACGTGGATTTTCAGTCTACTCTAATTTTCTGGCTTATAAATCCGCTGTCCTTGCGTTAAAATTTAAAAAGCGACCAGTTGCATGCCTTTCAAAATAACTCTCATCTCTGAGCTCTCTAAATCACTTGAGAACTTTTTTCTGTGCAGTTCCAATATTACACTGGTTCACCTGTAGAAAAAAAAGGAATAAGTTTATTTTCAGACTCAAATTTCCACGTTAATATGAGCAGTTGCTATTTATTGCTGCCATTAGGTCTAGGGAAAGCTATGGTAAATCTAAAAATTGTTGGCATATTCTATATAGTGCAGCACATACAGTGAACATAGTACACAGCACACACACCATGAGTCATGCGGTCGCTTACAAGATGCCAAAAGCAATGGAAAAGTACTAAAACCATCACCCGGAAAGTGGTCGCGGTCGCTTACGAGCGATTTTTAAAAACGTTTTTGGACTGGAAACATTTTAGGGGTGTAAGGCTTAAAGATTGAAAAGGCGGCGCTAACCAGTCAAACCTTAGAAACGAAACAATCAGACACAATCTATCATCAGTTAACGTTTTACATTTGTCAAACTGAGGAAATTCTCATATAGAAGCTGCGCTTACCTTTGTGGCGAATCGAAGAGAACAAAGTGTTTCCTGCAGTGATTCCTCCTTTGGTGAAATATTTACAAACATCAAACTGTAACAGAATCGAAAAAGGGTTAAGACTCAGAGGAGTTGTAGATGGTTTACAGTTTCTCTATTTAAAAAAGTGAAAGGAACGAGACAAATAGCTGGCGACGCCTACGTGATGAGTGAAGGAGGAGCGTTCAGCTCACGAGATCATCGATCGAAGAAGTAGAGAAAATTTTGTGGAGCACGTGAACACAAGACCGCAACTTTCTTTTTCTTTTCCAGAACTTCGATACAGTCTTTTAGAAGTGAACTCCAGAAAAATTTGCCAACATTTGACGAACTGAGCGAGATGGAATAAGCGCAATAAAGTTTGAAGGAGCGCGAATTAACTTTTTAAGGCCAAAAGGCTGGTTTTCATTAGCGACGGAGTCGTACTCAGAAGAGCAGAACTTTAACATCTATTGAAAACAGCGTTCTGATTCTTCTGATTCCGCTAACTACTACGTCGCTAGTGAAAACCAGCCTTAATGTCGTAGCGTTGTCGTTGCGTACTGTGAAATGTTGCCCTCGTTAAGGACTCTGTAAGGCCTTTACAGGAGAGGTTTAATATGAATGGCCACACCATAGTCCAGAATAGGCCATTTGCATGATGATGTCATTCTACTACGACAAGAATCCTTCAGGGTTTTGCTTTCTCGTGCAAATTGGGGCTTTTGTTATTTAGACCTCGCTGGGATTACCAAATTTAAATATGAAAGGAAAAACGAAAAAATGGATTCTGGTCGTGATAGTAAGATGACATCATCGTGGAAATGGCCTAATCGCTATAGCAATGGCACGAAGGGGCTGAGGTCCAACCTCCGTCCAATTCCTCTTAGCTTCCGCTCATTCGCTCACTCCAGTCATACAGCAATTCCTTAAGGTACATGACTCTAAGCTGCTTGTCTGCGGTGAGACACTCTAAAATGGAAGCGAGTTGCATCTTTTGGAGCGGTCCCAAAAACTAACCCCTCACCTTTTACTGTTTCCACCGAGGGAGTTTTGCAGCAGGAAGGTTAATTTAGAGTTTCTGTAGGGAATGTGCTGCTCTTTGTTGGCCAAAGCCATGATAACATTTCCGAGGTTACTCAAACTCTTGTTAATACTCTTCGTTTCTCGCAACCGATCCCCAGTGGAACCCGAACTGCTTAAGCGTTCGGATCCTGCCAGGTCAATAAGGTTCAGGGTCCCTGCAAATTGAAGTGAGTACATGGTCAATCGTCTGGACAAACAGTGAAAGATACGGACGACATTTCAGACTAACTCAGCGTAGTATACCTTGGCATTTTTCACCGGTGAGATGATTTTCACCAACGAGCTTCAGTCTAAAGACGCTGTGACTTCGTGAAGAACGCTCATTGCATTGTGTGGCGGCTACAGCTCTGTTTTGAGTCGCTTTCTCCAATAAACTGTACACCTGTAACAAAACCGACAAAAACCAATACGAAGAATTTAGCCTAACTTCACCACTAAATATGAAAGAGAATAAAGGAGTAAATTATAGCCCCCTACACAGAAGTAATGAGGTAGACTGGTGACTGCCGTAAATGCCTTACACGTTCCTAAGGACTGTCTAGTACTCAGTAATAGGATTTTAGATGTCCGAGTAATTTTGGGGCGAGAGGGGTTACATTACCCTTACATAGAGGAAGCAGCAAAAGAATGGTGCAAAGCATTTCGAAATCTTAAGTTACAAATTTACAGCTCGTGAGCATCCATTTGAAAAATAAAAACATGGTCACGAGTATATAACACAGGCTAACAATCCTTTCATGACGAAACGCTTTGACGTTCTGGAAAAGAGAATAAACTAGGTTCAAGTACTGTGAAGGATTGAAAAACTGCAAGACACAAAGACGAGCTCAGTGTTTCGTTCCCACATAGGGCGTGTCCATGAATTGGCAGGGCGACTTTTAAAAGGGCAGTGTCACGGATGTATGGTTCATTTTTTCAATATTGCCAGTAAAAAGTGTCCTTATGCACTATGGATGAAGATCTAAACGCTAGGAAAGAAATTATTTAAAAATGACAAAACTACAGCCTCTTGTCCAACAAATATGCCCTCTAAGCGGTATATCAAATGTTAAAAAAATCGAAACTGAACTTTCAAAAGCTCCATTTGGTGGTAGGTTAAGTAATACTGTTTGAGTTTTGATACACTCCGAGGCACAGATTGTTTTAAAAAAATATATTTCATGGCTATTAACAATCCCACACAATTGTCTGTCCATTAAAAACATAACAGGACAAAGGCAGTAGAAGTCCCGTATCACAAGCTACAAGGTCGTCAACCCACCTGTGTTTCGGATGTAACAGTCACTGTTTTGACATTAGTGACCGTTACTTCGCAAGCGCTTCCCGTACTGTTAGGATTAACAAGTTTAATTTCGTGTTTTGCATTTGGATCGCCAGAGCCCAGGAGGTCTTTGATCGTCTCGTTGTAAATTTCCAAAAAACTGGCCTCGGTGGTGTACTAGAAACGGAAGTGAAATAATCAGCGTCAACAAGTTTAAAGACTCAATTGTGTTGATTGCGGTAATACTGTTGTATGGTACCTCGACACATTGTACTCTTTTTCTACTAAGTAGTTATGAACTGGTGTCTGTGTCAAATATTGTAAGCGGCCTTGACTAAGGGACTAGGGGTGGATTTCCACTGTCGTGTTATTTTTACCAGTGTATGCACGTAAATTTTACGCGCGTAAATAATGTACAAGCAATGTTTGGAAGGTCGCGCTTGCATGTAAAAGTTGAACCTCGCTCAACTTTTACGCTCACGCGCGTATATTTTACATGCAAACAGTAGGATTCCACCTTAAATGCAATAGGTGTTGTAGAAAGTAAATAATTACGTGCAGTAATCAGGTGTGAACCGCGGATGAAACATGGGTGGTAGTTTTGATCATCGCCGTAAATTTTGCGACGACCTCTGCGCTTTTTCCTCATCTGTACAGCACCATATTCAATTTATCACTGCAAGGATCGAAACCTTCGCTCACAAATGCGGTTTGACTGTTTGTAAAGTTTAACTTTCGCCGCGAGAAAAGATCATAGTGAGAAACGTCATGGCAGGGATGTAACAGCATTGCCTTGTCATTTCAAGAAACCTACAGTAAATGGTACCCCCAAACGAGGAAGAATCGAATTCACATAAAACATGTATCCTGGTTTAAAAGTTTTAAAGACAGTAGCTGACAAAAAAATAGCATTTAGCAAGAAGAGGAAAGTGTGCGTCACGTAGCTATCAGTAAGATGCCCTTTTCCGGTTGCACGCATGATGCGCCGACAAAGTGTATGCAAGGGAACAACATCGGTTTTCAAGGCAATATTTTTCTTGCTTACCTGCCAGCCCTTTTCTTTGAGGTCCTGTGATGTCCTGAACACCTGTTCCAAGGCCCTTGGGATCATCCCCTGTTTTTTAGGGTCCGCAGTGTTCCCTTCCATCGTGTAAGTTTTTCCTGAGCCCGTTTGACCATAGGCAAATATACACACGTTATAGCCATCGAGAGCGGATTGGATTAACTGTGAAATTTCACCGAAAACATCTTCTTGACTTGAAGACGGGTTAAACACTCTATCGAAAGCAAATTCGTGTTTTGGTGGGGCTTTTTTAGTTCCGCAAATACTCTGTGGATTGACAACATAAATAAAGATGAGTGTGTATTACTAAAGAACCAACATATGGCAACCAGGTAGGGTTCGTACTCTCTTGAGCACTTCAAATTGTTAATTCCATGACTCTCCAAAAGAGTACAAACCCATTCTCGACCCCAGTGCTTACATGTGCAGAAGAGCTCTGGGTCGAGATTAAGTACAAACCCTAAACCAACCTCCAGTTTCTAAACAACTTCGGTTTAGCTGTTACTTTCGAAATTCTTCAAAATTATTCTTGTTTTTGGTGACTATATTTTACAAAACTCAATTCAAAAGACACACACTCTGGTGTCCACCAAAGCGCGTGCCGTTCGCGCTGTTTAATTACTTGTCCTTTGTCCTTGCTTTGACATCTGCAGTAACTAATCTACCAAACATAACTTCAATTTTCCATGAGTTCTCAGGCGTGGAATAAGAAATTCTCAAATTTATTGACCTTCCTGGTTTTCCATGGTAGAGGTCCTTTGCCTTTTAGCTGAGCCGGTTAACTGCTCGACAAACTAAGCACGATAGAGACGACGATTGTTTATGCCGGCCCTAAAACGACTCACGGCTTTCAGAGATAAAGGCTATTTTAAACTAGTAAGAGCGCTTGTGACTTTCATTAGTGGAAATTAAAAACCGGAGTCCGAAGCTTGACAGAATCAGAGTCGGAATAATCAGAACCTGTTTACATCTTTAATTTTCTTCCGACTCCGCTGATGACTAAGTAATAATAACCAGATCGTTGAAGTTGAAAGCAGAAGTCGAAGGATAAAGTAAAAACCAAGCCACGCTTTAAGACTGGTTTAGTTATTTCGCTTCATAAGTGATAGAGTCATAAACGGAATCCGAACGCTTTTTTCACGAGATCATAAAGCTTACCACTTCTGACTACGACTTCGACGCTAAGCAAAATCCTTGCAATGCTTTGTACATGACGGTTGATGCGTTCCTTGGGCAGCGCTGTTATGGGCATCAGAAACAAGGAGTGGGTGAAATGATTTACGGTATACATTTTTGTTGCATATCATTTCTCATATCGTGTTAACCTCGTCGCCAAGACCCCCATTTTCTAAAGGAAAACAAAAGCTCTGGAGACGAGTTTCATACCATCTCTCACCTCATTCGCCGAGGTTGATTCTATCGCCAGTTCTCTCTCGTCTTGCGCAAAGGAAAATGCGCCTAACCGCTGGCCTTCCTCGGAAGCAAGCACGGGCCTCACCCGACAAAACACCCGGATGTTACCCTTGAGTTCCTGTATCGTGTTATGGAGCTCGCGACGGATGGTTTCCTCGGAACGGAGTTTGGAATCCAGCGAGGCCACGTGGCTTTGAAGTTCCCGTACTGTATCTTCGAGTTTGGCAATCGTGTCACTCTTTTGCTGACTTTCGTCCAAAGCTTTTTGCAAAGAAACCTGGGAAGATAAGCAATGATCTGTTTTTTCTTTCCGTATTTGGAATTCCTATTTAACGCTAATAAAGTTTGAACTGTTTCGTGACGTAATTGCAACCTTTTGTGAGGCCGCAAGAGAAAAGAAGTTACATTATTGATTTCTTGACGCTTTTTTATTTCACCTGAAATTGATAGATATTTGCGTCGAGGGGGCGGCTAAACACAGACCTGGCGCCTGTACTGTATTTGTATTTACGTTCAAATGTGCTTCAAATCTCAGTATTTAAGACTACCGAACAGGCGCCTTCCTTTACCAGTCCGGAATATCCCTAAATTTAAGGACAGGGCCAACTGGTCATGCGACACTTTTCAACCAATGAGAAGGCGTGCTTGTGTTTATCAACAAACAAATCAAAACATCGCCCCAGTGCTCAAAAATTTTCAAAACAACGGACGAAGTCGACGGACAGAATTAAAGATGAGCTTACAATACTCGTGTAGGTTTCACATTTAATATTTCAAAGAAAACATTTCATGTAAGAGAATAAGAGCATTATTCATTGCAAGGAATCATTGGGGTGTTTGAACTGAAACCGGACTGAGCGCGGAGGTCGTGGCTTCACTGGCATGGCTTGCAAGATTTTTGATAGAAGCAAACTGGTCCCGTGTAAAAATAGCCTTACAGAGAGTGTGAAAATTTGTTGAGATCATACAAAACAGGATCGGTACTACCTATTAGCTTCTACAGGACAAGAATCAAAGAACCAGTCATCATAACAAGAATAAAAAATAGTTCAAATTTATTAATTTTTTTCTTGTTTGTTTTCTGGTGTTGTTTCGTGTGGACTTCACGCATCTGGTGCTTTCCTTGCTTGATGTAGTAATCGCTGTAGTACCTGCAATGTTTTAATTTTATCCCAGATCTAGATTTAGTGCATGTTCAATGAGTTGCGAAATACATCATTTACACTTGAAATTTGCCTTCTTTCTTTGATTGTTTTTTAACGGTGGATGAACATTTGGAGAATCCAGCGACATTAAATCTTTCCACATTTGGTGAATTTCAGAAACAAAGCGGTTAGTATCTACCTTGCGCTTATGATCTTCAATTTCATCCCCGCAAATTCGGCAAAGTGAGGCGAGATGTAGGACGTGAATATTCATAAGACTAATAAAGTTGTTTTGGCCTTGAAAAGAAAAAAGGCAAAGGCTCGCACTAATGCGAAAAAAAGTAATAACACGGCTCTGTGAGAAACCCGGGAGTGGAAAACGTACGTGTTTTGGACCTCGGAATTCATTTTGGTCTACCAAAATTCTAGGTTGTCTACCATCCCCACATTCAACATGATAAAAGTTAATCGATATGACAATCGTGGAAAAATATCTAGAACTTCGTAAAAAAAATCTGTGAATCGAAAAAATAACAGATACTTGTTCTAGAACTTCGTAAAAAAAATCTGTGAATCGAAAAAATAACAGATACTTGTTCACCTACCTTGAAAACTGACCAAAATCTCGCCCATATATCGCGTTGTTTAAAGAAGAAATAAGCCACAAAATGTGCTGAATATTTTACGAGACACTTCCAATATGGCTTGCGATACGCTGTCCACTTAAAAAAATTGTGTATGCCTCATGAAAAGTCTTAAAAATATGCCTGAGAGCCTCGAAACGATGACTGATTCTGACCAACTCCGTCCGCTGTTTTGATCACTGCGGCGATGTTTTGATTTGTTTGTTGATAAACACAAAAGCGCCTTCTCATTGGTTGAAAAGTGTCGCGTGACCAGTTGGCCCTGTCCTTAAATTTAGGGATATTCCGGACTGTTTACGGCCTTTAAAATAGTCTGCGTGCAAGCTCTCTAGCGTGAGAACGCGAGGACGAGTGGGGAGGCCGTGAGGGGCCTCGAAGGAAAAGTAGAACATTGCCCTCCCTTTCTCTTCCCGTACCTCGCTGTCACGTCTCCTTTCGCGGGCAGCCCGCGCGTGCCTTCCACGCCCATCTATGAATAGATGCATGTGAAAGAGCATGCATGTGAAAGAGTCTGTTTAGTTTAGTGGGCGCAGCATTCACACTAAAAAGCTAAAAAAAGTTCATAAACAGACAAACACTACCTTGGTCGCCTGTAATTCCGTGGTTATTCCCAATGAATCTGCTGTCATTTTAGCGACCGTAGATTTTAAAGCCATGACTTCTTGTTTAGAGATGTTGAGTTCGTTCTCAATGGATTCCTTCTCTTGCTGAAGGTTTTTCTTAGCTCTCTTCTCTACCTCTATTTCAAACTCGTGTTTTAGTTGAAGTGATCGTATTTCCTCTTCCGCGTTGTTGACTTTCAGCTGAAGATCCAGAATCTTCGCTGCGGCCTGTGAAACGAGCGAGTACAGGATTTTCTGTTATCGGTCAAAATTTTGGCCATTTCTTGGCTATTAGCCTAACTCTGAGAACATTTCCCGTGGAAAATAGTAATTTTTTCCATACAAATGACAGTTGTAGTAATCTCTAACTTGGTGTTTACATTCCTTACGCCGCAACGTCTCTCGCTATCTTACCCACCTGCCGGGTAGTAGCAATTAATGATAGCACACTCTTATAAATGACTAAGGGTTGATTTCCACTGTCGCGTAAAGTTTACGCTCGTGAATGATGATAAAAATTAGAGGCAATGTTATAGAGGCGATTTGACTGAAAATTCGTAAACGTCAAAAATGAAAAAAATTGAGCGAGGTTCAAAAACGTTTTTACGTTTACGCAAAGGCGACAAACCAAAAGTACATTGGTTCAAATTTTAAGTTTACGCGCGACCTCCCCCTATACATTACCTCTATTTAATTTACGCGCGTAAAATACCCACGTAAAAATTACGCCAATTTCATAATGTTTCCACCTTAAGCCTGTCAACTTGTTTTTCTGTGTAATGATTTCAGGATTCTTTTAAAGTGTTAACTGACTAAAAATATACCTCATTGTTTAGAACTCCCAACTCAAGCGCTTTTTCCGATTGAACGAGAACATATCACTTGCAATGGAACAAAACTTTATACAAACTAAACTCGTTCGCACATTAATTACCTTGAAAATACGGGAAATCCACGTGCCATTCACGCAAAGCAAATAATGATGGTGAATAAAACTAACTTTATAATTTGTTTCGTTTTTGAGTTGGGAGATTAGAATAACCGTAAACAGTGCGTTTTTCCCCAAGACCCAGGAATAACTTTTCTTCCTGACATTTCCGTGATCTTGTTATAACCCTGGGGCCCGTTTCTCGAAAGTCCCGGTAATTAACGGGCCCGGTAAGCTGTCTCCGTTTACATTAAAGACCGAGGTTTCAATAGTTTTGCATATAACACGACAAAACTGTCAGTTAATGAAACAAAATGGAGTAGTTTGCTAGCCAGGACCCGCGCTCTTATTCCTTATATTTCGATTTGAATATTTGATTTCGGGCCCGTAAAGTTACCGGGACTTTCGAGAAACGGGCCCCTGGGACCGAAATATAGTACGGGATTCGGGAAAACGCAAAATTTCTTGACGGGAAACGGGATTTCACCGCTTCTCGGGAATTTTGATCCGCCAAAATCTTGGCACTGTAGGCGGTATTGGGAAAGAAAACGGTACTCGGGACAGAGATGACAGAAGTTCGGGAAGCGGGATTGTCATGCAAAAGAAGCGGGAATGCGGGATCGGTAGGGATCGGGACCCCCTCCCAGACCATGGTATAGCAATCGGCAATGATCTCACCTGTTCACTTTGCTGGTTTTTAACCTGCACTGTTCCCTCTAGCTGTTTATTCAAAGATTCCAGATAACATATTCTACCCTGGTTATCGCCAATTGTTTTCGTCATGTTCTCCATACAGGAGTTTGACTTCAATAAGAACGCTTCCATGTCCTCTAATCTGCCTTTGTAGTCCCATGCTGGTCGTTTCTTTCCTGCAATGTAGTATTTTGTTTTAAACAAAATTGCAGTTCTATATTTGTAAACCTCAGTGAATCCTGGGGGAACCAACAGCTCATTGCACAATTTACTGGCTGTATTAACCCCTTTACTCCTTGACGATGTTTTGGCGAGAATATATATGTCAGTCTAACCTTAAAATCTTTAGCCTCCGTAGTTTGCGGTTTTTCTGTCGAGCGCCCCCCAACAAAACAACCAGCTACGCAGGCTGTAAAGTTTGAGGACGAAATCCTATGGTGTTTAATACCATTCAAATGGAAACACTCTGGAAGAAAATTTTCAAGGCGGTGCCTACATGATACATGTATAGGTTCTGTCTCCTCCTTAGGCGCTTCTTTACGGAGCTTTAGCAACGACGACGGCGACGGCAACGAGAACGCCAAAAAACAACTTTGCACGTGGATCACGCTTTTTCAGTTTGCACATTTCTTTGCCGTCACTGCGCGACTACGACGTGAAAATGCCTGATTTCACGCTTTATGAAGGACGTAAACAAGCGACGACGAATTTTTCCTTCTCTCTCTAAACTTGAGTGCGGTCCCCAACAAATCATCTCTTGGGAAATTCGCCTACATTTGACATTTTCAGAGGATTGGAATAAACGCGACAATGCTTGAAAAAACGTGAATGCCTTTTTAAAGTGACGTTTTCGCTGCCGTCGCCATCGTCGATGCTAAAGCGCCCTAAAATTTTCGCTTAGAGGCGAGCGTAACGCGAACGACTGGTGACTAAGCGCAAGAGGCCATGGAAAGCCGAAAGAAGAGAGGCAAAGCGCGTCTCGCCCGTTTTCTCCTTCTCGACTTCCTTTACGCGCAAATCTTCATTGAGTGAGAGAGACGTTTTGGTATCAGGCAGTGCTTTGGTTCGTTTTACAGAGAATATGGGGAGAAAAGTGTGAGGACTACTGGTGGGGGATGACATGGGGTCGAAGCCTAGGAGAAATGGAGAAGAAGGGGTAGGAGTTCTCGAAGGGTGGGAAAGTCTATGGGTTAGGGCTGGAGTTTGGTCGGTGGCGACCAAAATGTTACATGCTATGTGGCTGTGTCCTTTTGTTTATAGCCACTGTCTTTTAAAATGATATGCTAGCCTATAACCAAAATATTATGTGGTTGCGCCTTAATCTTAATAGCTACAGAATAACAATAACATGGTAAATAGAAATACAATTGAAAAACAGGAAATGTACATGTACACTGACATATGTAGCTTATTAATGGTAAATTTAAAGGTTGATGATATTAGGATATTATGAAATCTCTTTAAAACGGACCATGCTGATTTGGAATGGCCATAAGTGTCTCTCAAAGGGGACTTCCACAGCAGGATTAGCTCAGTCGGTAGAGCACCTGACTGCAGAGCAGGAGGTCGTGGGTTTGATTCCCTGGGCCGGACCATTACTCAGCTGGGTCTTAAAATAACTGAGAAATGAAGGTACTCCATTTGCACAGCAAGCAACTGGATCTTCGCGTGGCTCAGATGACCACGTAAAATGGTGGTTATGTCTCCAGTAAGAGAGGTAAAACTAGTGTCCCCAATCAGTACTTTAACTCAAATGAAGCGCATTTTTTTCTTTAAAGAGAGTAAAAAAAGGTACGTGGAAGAATGGTGGAAAGAGCATGCTTGATTACCAGCCGCTGTCTGGGAAATGAGCCTGCACTTCTCTGTCAGAAGGGAACAAGATAAGACTCGAGCTAAGTCATAAAAATTTTCACTAACCTATGAAGCCTTTTACAGGCTCATTAGCGGATGCCTTTGTATTGGAGCTTTTATTCACATTGGTGGGTGGTTTAGAGGCTATGGTCTGTCTCTTGGTAACGGATGACACCTGTCCTGTACGTGCCTGAGGTCCACCAGACACAACACCCCTCCTTGCAGTTGTAGTGGCTGAAGTCTGACGCCTTAATGTTGTAGAGACAGCAGGCCTTGAATTTGCTGTTTTGGCTTGCGATGACAAGGAGGTTTGTGACGATGATCTTTTCATTTTTGGTGGAGGCTGTATTGTTTTAGTCAAAAAGCTTCATTAGAATTTAAAGTGTTCAGTTGAGAGGAAGATTCCAGCAATTATGAGCAACTGCCTTGCATGAGTTTGGTCCCAAAAGGTAAAAATCACAAATTAAAACAAAACTCACGTAACACTGTTAATACCTTAGTATATGACTTGAGATCAATCTCATGCAAATTGATAGTTGCTAATAATATTATTATAATTATAAAAAAATTATGTAGACTTTATAGGAGGTCACATTAATTATGCAGTGAAAAGGTCTATCAAATGGCAATTAGGAGATTTCTCTGGACAAAGAGTAGACTGCAAATAAAACACTTTCTTATACAGTCTTTAGTCATGAAATTCATTTACATGTATTTTAAACTGTTATTATTCAGTGCAGACTGAATTAATAATGAAAAATTTTTCTATTAGTGAAATTTCTTATGGATTATGTCGTTCATAGAGATTAATAAACTGCACAAATTTTGCTTAATATCAGAAGCCCGCGATGTAGCATTTCCTTCACTTTACGTGTGTAATTTTATACCTCAGAACTTGCTTGTTCAACTTTGGCCAATGCTTGTTCCCGTGGTCTTTTTATTGCTGATGGTGGTCTAAGTTTGCTGATAAATTGAGACTTCGCAGTTTGTTTACTGGCCATGATATTTTGATCTTGAGTTGCTAATGGTGATCGCTGAAAAAAAAAATGAGTGTAAATTAACATTTAAATTGTCAAACATACACATCTGTTAAAAGACTTGTAGTTGACCATCAAAGAACTAAGAAAAGAACAGATTGAATTATCATTGTGACACAACGTGACATCCATTGAACTGGAAGTCAGTCACACCCAAATGGAAATAACATTTAACACTTTTACCCAAACAAATTTCATCTCATTAAATTAATAATGACTGTCTAATTACATCCCCGTAAATATTACACATGATTGACATGGCTAAGAAGTAACTTTGGTCAATCCCCAGCTAACACTTACAACTTGTGCTTCTGTAGAATCCATGTTTACTGCTTCTCTTTTAACCCTAAGCCTGGGTCTTTTAGCATAAAACCAGTCTCTGAAGAAATAATAGAGAAGACTCAGGTCAGCACCAACAAGGAAGACTTCTAAACATTTGTTTATTATAGCCAGGACCAGAGATAAAATTTGTGCATCTGTAGGAACTTAACATAGAATGTTGTTCACAGCGGTTTTGTTTCCTACTGTCCTGTGTCCCTGTGGCCTGCGAAAACAGCCGTTTGTCCTTGCTTCTTGGACGATTCACAAGGAGGAATGCCTGCGACTCAGTGATGACAGAAATTCCACACTGATGACAAAAATCAATGTTTACATAATATATCTGGTAGTCATGGGGTTCTAAATACAAATTTGTTTAATTTTACATTTCTCCTTGTTGATTTTGGAAAAGTGTTGTGTTCATCTGCGAAAAGCTCCAGCAAAATTAAACTCAACTGCTTCTTCCAGAGAAGAATATATTCCACAAATATTGACTGTTTTGTTATGGATTCATTGCATTCACATTTGACTTTTGTGGCCTTTTGTCTTTTGTATGTCATTCGTAAACAATAGCTAAGACAATGTAACTACTTTGTTGTCCAATCAGCACTTCTGACCGAATTCAGGACAGATTTTATGTCATCAGTATGGAATTTCTGTCACTGAGTCGCAGACTTTCCTCCTCGCAAAAATGTCCCAGTGGCAAGGAGCAAGGAGAAATGGCTGTTTTCGCAGGCTAGCTAGTGTCCCTGACACAATATGACATCAAGGTAAGAGTAACATGCATGCATATGTTACAGGAGTCAGGTTGGTTCTGTCAAAGCCTTTTACCTTTGGATAGACCCAAAATTTACGTTTTACTATCAACTTTCATACTATTCATTTCAAAAGTTGTCAGAGTAATTAAACTCGGGGAGTGTTCTAGGCCAGTGACACACAGTTCGACATCTGCTGATCAACAAATGCAGTGCCCTTCTCTCGTTCAACAAAGTATGTTGAACATACATGTAGTTTGTTGAAAGATGATAGAGATGGGCTCTATTCCATTCATGAATGACAACACAGATTTAAGATTCTAATCAACATATTTAAGGGTAAACTCAGTTTATATTCCCTTAATGCTTAGTTTTATCCACAAACCTGCGCCTATAAATTTCTGCATGTAAGCCTCAATTTCAAATGGTTTTAAAAAACAATCAAGCGCAGCGATCCTTTATGATGTGATGTGCCTAAAGCCTGGTTTCCATACAGTTTGTATGATCGCTGCGATCGCTGGAAAAAGGGTTCAGCTATTGTGAAGATCGCTGAGAAAGAACTTTTTCTATCTCAGCGATCGTTGTCGCTTCGATCGCTGGAGAGTAGTTTCTCAATGATTTCTACGTTTTCAGCGATCGTAGCGATCGTAATTGGAAACTTAGCCGCATCTAAGTATCATATTTTACACGAGAGAGCCACGTAAACATTCCTGTCTTTATCACAAGGTTACATCGAAAGAAATGGTCTTCTTTAAGTTCGTTTTCATGGCGAGCAAACATGCAATAATGTAAGATTGGATCGACAGACTTCGAACTACCCGCGCACTCAACGTCAAAACTATCAGCATGGCCGAATGGTCATGCGTTTAGATCAAAGTACTTACCAAAACGAAGACAGAGATCCAAAAAGAAACTCTAAAAGACTAATGATACAATTAAAGGAAATTTATAAATTCAAAACAAGAGGCGATGGAAAATCGTATAAAGGATCGACTCGTGGAATAAACGAACTGAATTTTCCTTCAGTGGTCAAGGGCGATTTGATTGGTTGTTTGGAAATTTGAACTTCCCGCAGCCCGGCGCAAGGTAGTCTGGGTAACCAGGGCGATTCGATTCGAGAGGGGTCATGAGGGTATAAAACTGTACTTTCTGTTTTTTTTTTTTTTGAAGAAGAAAAATCAGTTGTTTTGAAAAAGGTTTAAAAATTTCTATCGGATTAGGCCTGTAAAAAGGTCGTTTTGGGGTCCATCAGCCACTCCCGGGAGACAAGACATCTAATTTCATATAAACAGCAATATTCACTCCTATACTGAGAAATTGAGGTTAGAAAAAGTTAAAGTTGAAGTTAATTTTTTTTACGACAAACGAAACAATGAAACAATGTTGCAACGCTGTGTTAAAAATCGTCGTTGTGAATCGTCTCATGTAACATCACCTTTATGAAGAATACATCAAACGAATTTCTTCCGGGAACACTAACAATAATAATCACGAGTGTTTTTGGTAATTTTAAAGTGGCTTCAGACTGACAGGAACACAGTTTAGTTGCCTGAACAAAGTCGTAAATAACAAAACTGGACCCTTAATTTTTGCAATTCAGATGATGCGGAAAAAAGTTTTAGCTTTTTAAAAAGAAATCAAGTAGTGTAATATAGCTCCTTTAATAAATGACAATGCCTTCAGTTTGAAACTACAAATTCAAGCATGCGCGGAATGCATATAACGTCAGCACGAGTCAGCAATGATTTTGAAATAAACGAGAAGGAAGTTTAATTGAGAAAGAGAACATTATATAATCTACGCATTGCATAGTTTTCAAAACATTTCAGTTTCAATTGCTGGTTACCTCCACTCGAAGGCCGCTTAGCAGCGCTGTCAGCGCTTAACCCAGGGTTAAATTGAAACCGGGTTTCTTTTTCTTTTGTTCAAAAGCATTTTTTGATATTTTGAACAGCATGCAATCGTCAACTTGCTGACAAAAAGAATTAAGCTGAATTTACTTTTTAAGCTTTCATATCTGAATTCAAATTTCGCACTAACCTTGGGTTATCTTAACCCGGCTTTGAACAACCTGTGAACCAGGTTGTTTACCTGCCATTTTGAAAGTAATCTAACCTCGGCTTAGTGTAATTATCGTCACTCAGCACGGAGGCATAGCCAGCCGTGCGTTGCAGCCGGTCCACGTATCGTCTAGACCATTATACAGTAACCTGCGAGTAGAGGTTTCTCTCTTAAATGGCTTTTAGCGTTTACGAAGTGGTTCGCGTGGCTTGTCTGTTGCGATCGACTTCGTAAACGCTAAAATCCCTACAAGAGAGAAGGCCTCTGCTCGCAGGGTAATTATACAGAAGGTTTAGAGTGTCTGTGACGCAGGCTACGAAGCCGGCATTAAAAACATAAACATTAATTTAGTGACTAATATATAAACCACAATTAACCTACTCATAAACAACTGAAAATTGCAAGTCACATCTTTTAAAAAGCCTGGGCCCCGGGCCTTAAAGTAACTCTTTGAATTATGGTGATAAGCGACGATTGTCTGGACCCTTCTTGTGGGTTCTGTTCGTGACCCTTTAATCTGAAAATGGGATACCCTAAATTTCTCACAGCTTTTTCTCGGTAATTCTTCCACAACTTTTAACCGCATAGGAAATTTTTTGTTATCAGGTTATCACTTTTTAAAGAATGAATTCAGCTCATATTTCGTGAGTAGTTCGTATGTGGTGAGGCATATCGAGTTGGATGGCTACGGAAACACTGCTTAGCTTAGTCCTTGTCTCCCGGCTAGTGAAAAATTAAGTTCCATTAAGACTTAGTGTATATAAAAAATAAATAAATAAATTGAGAATTAGTAGGGAGAATATTAAGTAAAATGTATTTAATTTGCACGAAAGTCCGAGTGATCGAGCTTTTTACAATGAAGAGCTGAAGCGAAGCCAATTCTCAAAATCCCAGACATACCCCAAAAAAAAGTTTCAAAATAATAGAAGTAGTTTGGCTGTCAAATTGGACTCGTGGACTTGGGCCAGAGTACAAAAAAACCCCGAACTTTTCATGGGACGACCCTGCATAGCGCTGATGAGCGACTAGCAATAGACTCAGTGCCCATTTTGCATTAGGTTGGCCACATCCAAAGAAATACTAATTGACCAATTCCGATATATTAAAATTCATTCTTGGCTGTGAGGCTTGCGGGATACTAAGAAAAGAAATCATGATTTCTTTTATTCCTCCGAAGCCTCGGAGCCAAATATGGTCAAGTATGAATTTTAATGTACCAAAAATAGTCTTTTCAGTTGCTATTCAAGTTTTATTTTCCGTGAAGCTTACTGTTTCTTTTAATAGACTTAATACTGTGGCAGCGTTGTTTTGTCTAGCATTTCGATAAATTATAATCAGTATTGGCTCTTCGGTTTGATTTGTCTTCACCTACAGATTTTGGCAGAGTCGTGTTTGTTTTATGTTTACCTTGTAATTTGTGCAAAACCGTGAAAATGTATTGACTTCTGTTTTATTCATTGCTTTTTCTTTTTTTTTTCCAATAGGATCCTTTTCTAAACTTTGCTGTCGTCCATTTTGCTCACAGAACTTCGTAGAATTTGTGAGCTTCGATTGAGTCCTGTGTCTGGACTAGCCACCTAAAAAACTCTTAACAAACAGTGAATTATACTGCCTTTTAACATGTCGAATTTCACAAGAAATCCATTTCCAGGCTTACTCTTAATTGAATTGCTTGCTACCGGTGCTTGAAACTTACAAAAAGCCTCGTTTTTCAGTAACAAAACTTCCTTTGTCTCATAGCTTCTCTTGTATGTTCACACGTAAATGCAGTCGGCATCTTTATTGAACTCTATATTCTCACTTTATTTCCCCAGACGCTGAGGATAAAAGGCATTATTTTTCGGTATCTTAAGACTCATTTAGCAAAAGCCTTTGTTGTTTCCGAAAGAAAAATAGCCCCCTTTGCGATTGGTCGCTTAACAATAGGCAACAATTCTCCGTATTTGCCTGTAATCATCCTAAACCGCCAAATGCCTTGAAAAAAAGGTGACATCTGTTACTCTCTATCAGCCAATCAACGCGTTCGATTCAGACCCAATTTCCATAATTGGGCACATTGACAAAACCCGACAGAGAGGGGTTTGTTGTTTGTCGATCTATGCACAAGAAACATGGAAGGGCTATCGCGATGTGGCTTCGTGTTGTTGAGTTTTTCGTTGTTTACGCTATCAGTAGGTAAGTCAACTTGACGGAAATTCGGATTCGACAAACATTAGATGTTTTGTTGATCCTAGCAAGGGCGATTTTGTTTTTAGCTTCTTTAAAGATTAGCAGTTCTGCTTCGGCGGTCAGCAAAGTGTATGATGAATACACGCGAGATCTGTAGACTTTGTTTTTACAAGCCTTTGAAGAGCTAACTCTTCTTCATTCGACTTTTTGCCTTCCGTTGAAGACAGAAACTTTTTTCAATGAGCAAAATCGCTTTCCACTGACAGTTTTCTTAATCTTGACGGAAGCGCTCTTGTTAACTCTTCGGGCATCCGATTCCAAACAAATCTCGCGAAATGAGAAAACATTCGTAGTGATCACTAGGATAAAACATTACTGAATGCTTAATGAACGTAAAATTGAGAAACTTTTTATCTTGTTTTTCGTTCCATACGCTGTTTCACCGCGGTAAAAATAAAAAAATCTTGTGAGGACTTATGTATGACCCAAGCTTATTTAAGCTTATAACCACGAACTCTCTCAGTAAAGCTTTATTCAGATGGCCTATTGGTGAAGCTGAGTTCTATTTTGGGCTAAATTGAAGCCGCATCGCCCAATATAATGTACCCATAATTGTGGATTGGCTCGTATCACGAAACGAGAGTCGGCTTCGCAGGAAATTCTGCTTTTCTCATGTATTTTCATCAAAGATGTCTTTATCGGGTCAAATTTCTCGAAAACTGCTGCGACTAAAGTATGCTTGACGGCTAAATCCGTGTCGTACAGTTCCCAAATAGAGGGATTAACTTTTTTTAAGAATGCAAAATCCCTTTTCTTGAATACTAAACTGTTATTATTGACTTCAAAGTGCAGCTAAAACAGACCTGTAATGTTCGTGTGCTTGACGGCTTTTTGCCTCGGGCAATGCTTACTGCTTTGTACATTTCACCATAATTACTTGACTTTGTTTAATAAATTTCGAGAAGCAGTTTGTCTTGAAAAGTCTTAGCATCCCCGCAACTTGTCAAAGGCTATGTAGGTTGACACTTTCAAAACATATTTTGGAGGCCTACTCCTTATATTTGAACTCAGACAGCAAAAAAGTGTCTTTGAAGGGTCTCTTAACCGATATTTCAACGCACGGTTTCTTTGCGTGCAAAACAGCTACGCGAGTCTGCATTCTTAGCAATAAGTCAATTTGCTTCAGGCTGCTAAAGGGCACATTCGAACTTTTGGACAATTTCCGGTCGCTCCATTATTACCACTTGTTATTCTTGACTTTTTGAGAGGCTAACTTGCCCATATAAAGGAGAGGCAAGTGTTAGTGTTTGTTTGAAGGTATCAAAGATCTGTGTATGATACATGTACGTATCAAGTTAGACATTTAGGGTGCTCTGTTTGATGACCACTTTTTTTAAATTTCTTTTTATGAGATATCTCGTTAGCCATCTAATTTAGTAACACCCATAGTCAGTTTTCTAATCTGTCATCTTTGAATAAAGTCTATCATAGTGGCCCAAGACCTGATGGTTGCAGTGTCTTCAAAGGGCTTAACTATAGAATACAGGGCAAATTTTCTAGGTATATTCGTTGGGGTGGCTCGGTAGTCCCGACTAACAAGCCACCGAGCCGTCGAGCCACTAAACTATATAACCTCGACTGAAGAGCCGCCGAGCCACTAAAATATATACCTATAATCTGCTATAATACATACTAAAGTATATGCCTTCTATGTCTGTCTTATACTTACGTGTCTTATATCTTTCTTGTTCTTTAAACACTTGTCGTGACTAGCGAGCCACCGAGCCACTTCTGTTTAAGACTTTAAAATATGGCCTTGTATTCTGTAGTTGCTCCTGTTGTTTGCAGGTTCATTTTATCTGCTTATCATACTAGTCAATCTTGATGCTCTCCATAAAGAGACACTAAAAAAATTGTTGAAGGCTTACCAACAATTAACTTTTAAGGCTAGTTTTCACTAGCGACTGAGTCAGAGTCGGAGTTGTAAGTGGAGTCGTAAGAGCGCTTATGACCTAGTGAAAATCCAAAATAGGAGGCGTAAACGGAGTCATAAGCACTACGCAATTGGAGTCAGAAGAATCAGAATGTTTCCATTTTTTCTGACTCCACTTATAACTCCGTCTCCTACATTCCTCTTATAGTGAAAACCAGAATGTCAGAGTCGAAAGCAGAAGTGTAATCCCATGGTGATAAACCAATCACGCTGCACATTGCCACGCTTTGTGATTGGTTTAGTTCTTCCGCTTCTGCTTGTGACTCCGATGACCCAGTTTTTACTTGATCGTAAATGACGGAGTCGCAAGTGGAATGAGAATGCTGTTTTCACTAGATTGTAAAGTTCTACGCTTCTGATTATGACTTTGACTCTGTCGCTAGTGAAAACCAACCTCTACAGGATATAGGCAGACTGTTAAAATGAACTAGACCTGGTTCATAGGTCAAACTTGACATTTAGACATGGACTGAACCTAATGCGTGGCATAAATGAGTACCGCCTTTACTGATTGAAATAGGAAAATGAACTGTCAAAAGTAGATTCAATAGGTTGGCCATTAAGTCTAAAAATTCCTGTTTTAAATTGTGTTCTGTTATGGAAAAGTACAGTAACAGGCTTTGCGTTATTGGTGTTCTTTATACAACTTTGCATTTTATTCTCCATATCTCCTGATGTCGGAACACAAGACCCTCTTTTACATACTTGGGTATTGAAATTGTGTTGCCCAAAACTACAACTGCATTAACTTATTTTCCTTTCTCCCATTTTGATGTAGGGTCTGCTGATAATAGTAACTGTACGGAAAGTCAACTAACGTTGTGTGAGAGTCAGTTTAATGAAAACAGCCTACCAGTTTGTCTTGAGGTGATTGAATTGAAAACTTGCCTAACTGCCTGTGAAAATATCAAGGAATGGTCAAGCTGGAATGTATATACCAAATATGAAGCACTTGTGAGAAAAATGAATTCATACCCTGATTGTATTCCAGAAAGCAAAGGTAGATATGTCATATTTTTTGTTTAATTGTTATGGAGTTTTCAAACATAGTATTGGCTTGTCATTTGTTTACTGTAATATCGTTGAATCAGTAATGGTAGAGAAGAGTATGTGAACTTTTCAGAGACTAGATTAGATATGGTATCATAGAAAGAGGTTTGGCCCTGCAGTTATGCCGTACTTAAGTTGGTTGTACATGATCTTATTTGTTAGTATACATTGTAGTCCTGGCCCTGGTTATTCCAACATTGGATAGCGCTATCCACCGGATAATCACTATCCAGCGGATAAATATTAGGGAAACCAACTGGGGCCTGAAGTAATCATATTCAAAGTTCCAGAGATGATTGGGTCATCCTTAATTTGAATTAGGTTCGGCCAATGCAATGTTTGGCATTTGAATTGGCCCTAAAGGGTTGATAGGGTTCCTTTGTAATGCCAGCAGTTGTCATTGTTATATTGTGCTTACATTGCTGTTCTATTCTTTTCTCTTAACAGTTAGCAAAAAGAAATGTAATGAGGAATTTGTTAATAATTGCTATCAGCAGTATAATCATAATGCTACACCGATATGTCCTGAAGTGAAAAAGCTACGAATGTGCATCAGTGAACTGACAGGTTGCCATGCCATGAAGCACCCAAAATTTGTGCAGTCAAGGGATATACTTGAAAAGCACCGTGATTGTTTCTTTGTAAATTACTCAAGGATTCTGGAAGTCCTCAAAAACAAAGGTCAGTGTGCTGTGGTCTCAACAACACTCTGGCAGGAAAAAAACCCCAAAGGTTTCAGTTTATGACCCTTTAAGAGGGTTCTCAACAGATGTTGCACCTGTTTTATTTTGTATTTTGTATTTAATTTTTACTCCATCCTATAGATAATACATTAGTTGTACAATATTAATTAGTACAAGGTTGTTTAAACTACATGTACATAAGAAAAAAAAATTAGAATGGAGAAGGGCACATTATAGTAAAACTAATTATGGCGCTTTAACAGGATTGACTTTATTCTATTATAACTTTGTTATTCATTAAAACACAAACACGCACGCACGCACACACACACAGGAGCTCCTACACGAAAAAGTAAATTATTTAAAGTCACAAAAAAGACAACAAATAGCACTAAACTAGCCAGCGTCAAAAGACGTGGCCATCATCGTTGCTGACCACTGACCTATTTTGGGGGTGTTCTAGTTATTATGTGTGTACTTCCTTTGTACTTCCATATCTTACCAAATACATGCCGTGGAAATGAAACAAAACAGCTAAAATGCCATATTTTTTAGTACCTTCCCTAAATGGTACAAATGATGGTCTTAACAAATTCACACGTTAGCCACCTGTAACCATCTGCGTGTCAGAACTATGTCCCTCGTACCAGACACAGAATCTGCCCAAACTGGACTTTATTTTAGCAGACCAGTCAGTGATGCTCAGTAATTATTGGTGGGATAACCACAGTAGCGGTCAGAAAGTGCCTACATGTGGTCTTTGTTATTTTGTAATTTTTGTTGACTTGATGGCAGATACTCCACTGGAAGCAGCAAATGTGTTGTTGGCTGTTGGCCTATTTTGGCTGGCTGTAATTGTATTAGTTACTGGAGAACTTTTTGTTGGTATACTTATTCTTATTTTTATCTTAAATTAGATGAGAAAGAGCAGTCAGACAAACCTCCCCAACAATCCAGTACTAAAAAAACTGGTAAGGAACAATGTTTTATAAATAATTGAAACTACAGAAAGGTTTAAAGGTTAAATAACAAGTTTCTTGCTTTTTGCTGACTTTGTTTTGCTAGTGTTGGTATATATTTTTGGAGCCACTTAAGCTATATTTCTTCCAGTTTCTGTGGCACTAAATGCTGATTCGTTACTGCACCTAACATATCAGACATAAATGCACTGGTAACCATTGTCATAACTTCAGCTTGACTTGTAAAATATACTGTTTAAAAGGCTAGCAGGTGGGTATTAGATTTTTTAAACCTGATAATACACGACTGCGAGTTTTTTGAATGGCTTCAAGATCTCTGTATACATATTTTAATTGTATATATAGACATTTTTTAATTTCTTATTTGTGAATAATTTTTTTTGTTTTGTCCCCAATTAGTTATGAAAACTAATAATACACTGGCACATTAATACAGCTTTTACTTTTACCTACTTACTTACTCTAATACTGTAGTGATATAGATCAACTTGTTCTTGCACCGATATTTAGATATGGGGTTATTTTGGTCTAAAAAATTGGACGTAAAGTTTAGCCGTGTCTTTATCAGATATAAAGACACTCATAAAACATCAATTTTCTTTTGTTTTTCTTTAATGAGTTTTTAAAGTTATAATAATGAGGATGCCTAATAAATGTCATGAGCCTCATAGTTTACTTTAGTCTTCCTTGCCACTGTTTCCATCATTCCTTCTTGTCTGTTTTTATATCATTATCTTGTATATGTTATGTTAGTATATACACACTTAGTGATCTTGGTGTTTTAAGCTATCTGATTGGTTTGCTATCTCTGACTGTTCAACAGTATTCACCTCCTGCGTGTTTCTTTCAAAATAACGTGATGTTTCTGCAAAGGATTCTGCTAATTAAGTGAGACAAATCCCAACCAGGGAATTCCCAACCAAGTTCCCTGATTGGGACTTGTCTCACTCTTCCAAATTTGGGACTTTTGTGGGTATTCTTTAAATACGCTAAAATATCCACAAATGGGAATCTGTTATTTTTTCCTGTGCAGAATGGCTGCTTAATGGGGGTTCAACCAACATAAAGCAATTACACCATAAAAATGCAGTTGCTAATGAGCACAAAATCTAGTTTTTACATCTATGTAGAAGTTAATGTTGTTAGAGTCCAAGACTGTATTCTTTTTGTTTATTTCATAGAAGTATTGATGTCAGTTCAAACAACAAAAACATCAACTTCAGAAAAACCTTCCGAGAGTGAACCAGAACAACAAAGTGGACATCTTCCTTACACATTTGTTGTGGTGGCAACAGTTTGCACATGTATGTTTTTGGTGGTTCTTGTAGTCTTCAGTATTGTGCGGCATACGACACTTTCAAAACGTCAAAGGAACTCATCTATAGAAAGAGCTCCTATGAGAATACGTATTAGATCACATAGTCCCAGGCACAGAACTAGACATCATCGGCATCATCGCAGTAGTAGAGGCCATGTTGTGATGCATGGTGCAGTGAGACAAACTGTTTCAGGATTTTTCGAGGGCAATGTTGCTCCTCCACCTTATAGCGCGGTACTGGACGATACTGAGAGTGTAAGAGCGGGTGATCCGCCACCCCCATATCGACCACCTTCACACATTGGTGTTATTGTATAAAGTGAGGAGGGTAAATCATGATCTCTGGAAAATTATTCTGTTCTGTTTCTCTGGATACATGAACTTCACGTGCAGAGTGCCAACGTATGCAACCATTCGTGTTTTACCGACTTTGGACAATAATGGGCTTGATTGCTGGCTAACATGCAGAGCATCAGACTGGAAAAGTCAAAGACGCAGATTGGTTCTTTACTATATGAAAATGTTCAGATTTTATAATACCTGTATATAGAAATCATTTTAATGAAGTGTATTGACAAAGAATTCAGTTAGAGCATTTTGTCTAGGTTATCCTTATTTCTTCAATATCATATTACAAGACATTCATTCTCTTAAGACCATCATTATGTTGCTTCAAAATCACATTATCTTTACTGTATGAATAACACGATTATCTAAAATCCTGATATGGTGATATTGATTAATAGGCTGAGGAACTTAACCATTCTGTTGTCCAGTGTCACAAATTCTGCGTTTTTGTTGTTGTTCTTTGTTTGTTTAACTGACAAAAATCTATTTATGCGCTGAAAGTTAAATTACATAAGGTGAATCCAAGATAAAAAAGGGAAGCCAGATGATTTTTCATTTTACATCTTGTGCAGAATGACAGATATTGATTTCAGATGATTTTGGTGAGTCTCTGAATTTTGAAACATGATCATATTAACAAGAGAGGGTATTAGCACAACAGCCCTTAGTATTTGTAAAATGTCAGTGCACTACTGTGACCATAGGATGGTTCTGTACCCAGCCTTTCTATTTCTCAGGATTCACTGCAAAGAAGCTTATTTTTCCATTTTTTTCGAAATTTGAAGCCTGAGAATGCAAGAGATTTATTGTAATCAGAGAGATGAGAATCGGGCTACTGTTGCAAAGTCTGTGTCTAGTTCCTGTTTTCTCCAGAAACACAGAGGGCTCTCTGTGGCATTGTGTTCTGCAGAAACCAGTCATTCTGCAAGTTCCTGTGCAAAAAAAATTCATTGCATTTGTAGTAATAACAAAACCCTTTCACTAGTCCTACCCACAAACACACTATCATTATAATTTTGATGGTTGATGCCTTTTTGCAAAGCATTTCCTACCCTGATAAAGTAGACTTCGAGTACTGGAGCAAAATAAGCGAGTACATGTGATAATCGCTTCCCTCGAAGAGATTACATACCTGAGAAAATAAGGACTACTCGTGGTTTTTGAAAGGAAGTTCTTGTCACAGGAGCCCTTATAACCATTGAATAAACAGGAAGGGGATAGCATCCTCGTTCCCAGGTCTCTCTCCTACCTGTCTCTCTCGCTCCGTAGGGACGGGTAGAGAGAACCCCAGGAACGAGGTTTGAGGGGGTAGGTCAATTTCCAACTGCTGAAAACACTCACATCCAAAATTCGGACAAGTTTGAAGAGTGAATTTATTTGCATGAGAGTAAAAAGTATCTTTAGACGGCTATTTCGAGAAAGGTGGTCGGAAAAAAATGTGTACGCGACAATCCGGAAAGGTAATAAGGGATATGATCAATACACTGTTCCTGACACTGTAGCTGTCGAACCTACTTTTGTTGCTTTCCTTTCAGCTAGCACTCGCAAACATAAGTCCATGGCCTCTCCTGCCATTCTTTCAAATTTGTTTGTAGAACAGTGAACTCAAAACCACCCACAATACCTTTCAGGATTGTTGCATGCCAGTTTTCCGACAACCTTTCTATCTAGCCGGATTTTTTAACACTTTACCGCCAAATAGACCTCTTCCGAAGAATGCAACCATTGCTTTTCTTCTGATCTCCTCTTTTCTTCCTCCTCGCTCTTCCTATTTTCCTCTGCTAATGGGATTTTCAAGCTAATCATAACTATAACAAGATTGTCAAATCTGATTGGCTCTCAACTGCCCTGATTTCAGCCTTAATTGGACAGTTTAATAGGACAGTACGCGTCATGCCTAAGTAATTGGACAGTACGCGCCATCACGCGCGCGCTTAAATGGCTTTTTTTCTCACTGCTAGCAAAACAGGATTTCGAATTTCTTGTGTTTTGGTTTAAAAAATAGCCTATTGTATCACAAATTTTGTTAAAGTTATGATTAATTGGTAACAGAACTTCGTGTCGTCCAATTCAGTCTGTAATCATACTCGTGATTAAACAAATCGGACTCCCGCTACGCGGTCGTCCGATTTTGTTAATCACTCGTATGATTACAGACCGAATTGGACTCCACTCAGTCCTGTTACCATTACTTATTGGGGGCAAAGAAAAGTGTGCTTAGCCCCTTTTCACCCAAATGGCTGCAAATTTCGCTAGGTTCGTTTTCAAAAATTGGCTGGATATACTTAGCACTTACGATGGCAGCAACTTGAAAATAGCTAATTGGAAAAAAGGAACCTTTCGTCTCTTTCTTTCTAGGGCGCCTTAGTACGGTATTAAGTCAGGGTTCTATCTAGGGTTTAGGCCATTTGCACGATCACGTCATTTTACTACGACCAGAATTCTTTTCGTTTTTCTTTTCATATTTAAATTTGGAATCCCCAGCGAGGGTTAAATAACGAAAGCCCTAATTTGCACAAGAAAGCAAAACCTTGAAGGATCCTGGTCATAGTGGTAAAAGGACGCCATCATGCAAATGGCCTATTTAAGGGGTAGAAGTTCCCCCCTCAAAATGCCTAGCTCCCCCCCCCCCCCAAAAAAAATTGTTATCATTACAGTATATGAGTAACTATGTCGAAAAAATCATCCAGACGCGACGAGGTCAGTGCGCACACTGTAACATTTCTCAAAATTGTGTCTGAAAATAAAATTTCCCGGGGGGTGAATACCCCCGGACCCCCCTAGGAAGATCGTCGCCTTCGCCCACTCGGGAGTTCTCCCCCAGACGATAAATCTTGGATAGAACCCTGTAAGTAATCATCTTGATACAGGTTTAGCATTACACTATTTTCGGCAAAGAGAGAGCACTTGATTGCGAGGAAGACAGGGCCAAATATTTAAACATAGTTTAGCCAGTGTTAAACAAAACCGTGTTGTTTAAGTCACTTCAATTTGTCCAACGATTTTATCTAAATATCATTTATTGTGAACAGTTTTATGATAGCATTTAGAGAAGACTTGAAAAGCATATATTCTTAAAACAACTCACTAAAGAAGAGATCTGGGGGTTCAATGATTCGTTAAACCGCGGCTTAAGTTAGACTTCGTTTAAATATTTGGCCCATAGAGTTTGAAAATGAAAGCATAAATCCCTGAAGTGAACAGTTAGAGTACACGTGTTGTAGTACAGGTTCTTCATTCCAAGATGAACAATGAAATAAAAAAAATATATGATAAACTCCTTATAAATTGGTTGCTCAGGTACATAAACGTGTTTGTATTATACACTATGCAGTCGACTGGCATAAATAGAAATCTAATCCATGGATTAAGACCAAGTTGTTCAAAAGGCGGATGATGTTATCCATCGGATAAATCTTAATCCAATGGGTAATGAAATATAGTCTTAATACTCATCTACTGGAGAGGGATTTATCCGGTGAATAGCGTTATATCCATTTCTAGTGCTTTTCCAATAAATTGCTTTGATCAGTAAAAAAAAAAAACAAAAAAAAAACGAGGAGGCCAAAGCAGTGCTTCTTCCGCAGCCTCCACTATAGCACGGAAAACTGACAGACTGTCGGACATAAATTACAAAGGAGTGTTATGCGCAGTTTCTGCAGAGAGTGGATCGTTCCTACAACATAGTTTGGTCGTCGTAACTACGTGGTCGCGATCGTTCGTAAGGTTGTGGGGCAGGAAATTAGTGAAAACACAATAAGACTTTTTATTACTCGTAAGTTAAGGCGTTAATTTTGTAATAGATATTTGATAGTCGTTTTTGAACTGATTTGTTATGATCACACACGTACGAGAAAGGATAACCGGACATTTTGATGAGCAAAGCATGGATGATAAAGATGAAAAGGGAATGGAGAAAGACAAGTATTCATAGGGATGTTCGAATGTAAAAAAAAAAAATGTGTTCGAATGTACATGTGGAAAGAAATAAAGGAACGACGACGTAACCTAACTTAGATGACGAGGTCGTCGCCATGTTTGCCGCGGCCCGATGCTTAAGAGCTGTCCGAGGAACTTGCCGCTCCGTTCGTCTGAAATTAAAGTGACTAACGATTGCGGGAGCGATTGTTGTAAAGCTTGACTGCATATTTGAGAGAGAGTGTCTTGATTAGAGTAAGAAGCAGTCGAAGAGAATGCGAGGATGTGACGAGGATTTGAATAAACAAGAACTTTTACCATCATTAAATACAACACAATTTTATTTTTTTTTCTAAACATCTCTATAGGCCAGAATTACTCCAAAACAGATTATTTTACCCATTAATGGTAAACTATCCATACGATTTACCAATGAGTACTAATTAGAATAACTGTTATTGTCCAATACAGTTACCACAACTCATCGTCACATGGGGAAAGGGACTGATGTTGATGATGATGGTGGTGGTGGTGGTGGTGGTGGTGAAGGTCGCGGTGCTGCTGATGATGATGATAATAGTCATAGTAATAATAATGACAATTATGATACTGATGATGATTCGTTCCTTCTTCACTACAAAGAGTCAGAGTGAAGCTGTATTTATAACAGTGCTTCCCTGAGATTTCTCAACTGCAAGAAATGGTTTGACTTGGCTACACCAATTGTTTGCTTGCAAAACCAGTGATAATTTTGTCACATTGCCAGCATAACTGTGGCCACATTCCCGACAAATTTTGGTAACAAAAAGACGCAATCAGGACTAAGCAGTCACACAAACACTACGTAAGCACACGGTTATGGAAAACTTGGTCCCTGGTAAACTTGATTTATTTCTGATCGGTGGCTAATTAATAAACATTTGTATGACTCCACGAGGAAACAGGTTTAGGTCTCAGTGGACCACATTTGTTAATTTCAAGAGAACAACTGTCTGCCTTGATACATTATGACCACTGTTATGACCGTCTATTCTACTGCAACGTCCCCCAAAACTAAATATTATCATCAATATTAAATTACACGATCTCCTAAATATATTATCCTTCTACTGCTTCTAGGAGACCTGGAATATCCCAGTTCTCAAATATGAGTTAAAACTTTCCTAATTTAGTTAAATCACTGCTGAAGCGGAAGCAGGAATATATCAGACATCGATCTTTGGCCTACAACGAGACCAAATTGTTCTAGAAAAAGCTATTACTTTCTTAGTCATCGTCACTCGAGCTTTCACCTGTAGTTCCTGCTAAAAAGCAGCCCAAACCCATACTTCTCCTTCCAAGACCAAATCCAGCACTGGCAAGATCTTTACTAGGATCAATAACTTTGAAGTCTTTGCTTTTGTCTTGGGTGTTCAAATCATTCCTCTGTGTGTACCTGAATGGTAGGAGAGGACCTCGCCGCACTGTCGAGTTAGGTCTCATTGGGCCCTCTCTGCTCACGAACAAGGCATTTTTGGGAGTTCTATAGAGCATGCCTTTCCCTGCAAAACCACTGGCAAGAGAGTGAAATGTTCTGGTGCCAAAAGGGCTTAATCCCGAACCATTTGTTGTTCCATTTGCTGTTGCACCACAACCGGCCTTAGATGATGCATCTGTTTCACATTTCTTATTTTCATAACCACTTGTTACCACTTTGTCTTTCTGAACCCCTTCTTTCGTTTTGCCAATACTTTTGGCAAGCTGTTCAGAAGCACTGGTCAAATGAGTACTCATACTCGACATGTGATCCTTCCATTTGTCACTAGCAGTGGTTATTATAGTATCCATTGAATCAGACCATCCCAAGAGGTTTACCAGTTTCTTTACTCCCTCAACAACATCTCCTTGTAGGACAATGTCATTGGATCTTCTCTCCCAGCGTCGCAAGAAAGGTCCTACGATCTCTCGGTTTAGAAGAAGACGTGGCGTGGAGTGATCCACTGCACTTGCTATCCCTGCAAATGGCTCCACCTGATGAAAAAAAAAAAGTCATACATACACTGTTTAAAGGTTGTCATTACGACTCTTAAAGGAGGATTATGAGGTTATCCCTATATTAAGATCTCTCCTTACACATAACACACCCAGCCTAGGGAAGGTTGGCCACACCACCGAGGTCTACGTCCCCTACTCTCTACGAACAGTGGGGGTTCTTTTATGTCCCACAAGAACCAGATAAGTGACAGCGCTGTGAGATGGGACCTACTGTTTTTCGCCCAGTTATCCGAGAAGACTAGAAAGTCTAACTGTTTGCAGAAGTTTTTACAAAGGCAGCAATTTCTTCTCAGTTATTTAAAGATCCTGATTGTTGGTCCGGCCGGGGTTTGAACCTGCGGCCTCCCGCTCAGCAGACCGGCGCTCTCCCAACCGAGCTAACCAGGCAGAGCTTATTCAGGGCTGCATTCTTTTAAGAAAGGACAATAATTTCCGACCAGCTGAACATTTTAGGTGGACAAACCAGTCAAGTTGATGGGCATACATTGCATCGACTTTACATATTTCTTTAAGTATACATACTATGCAATCCCCAGCTTCAAATGATAGTCTTTGCTGGTTGCTCTGTTCTGACTGTAGGTAGGATTTTGTCGCACATTGGGCAAATTTAGCGTATTGTATAACAACCAACTGTTAATTTCAGCTTTTACAGTGCTTGTTAATTTTTGTTCTCCTTGTTTTTAAACTATGATTTTCAGAACAAGGAAAATTCTACCCAAGAAAGCTAAAATGAAGGAGCCCATAACCCAGTGGGAGAAACTTCCATACTAGGCCTATGTCAGGGCATTTTCAAAGAACGGTGAACTTTTACAGTGGAACCTTCATGTAACGAAGGGCCAAGGGACTAGCAAAATGTGTTTGCTATAATGAGGTTTCGTAATTCATTATTTTACTATTACTGGGGTAAAGAAAATTGTTGTTATATTGAAGACTTTGTTACATAAGAGGTTTGTTGTATGAGGTTCCACCAAAGAGAGCACATTTTCTGGTGACAGTGGAGGCTCTGCTCCATAAATTATAAGCTCATTTAAAGTGTAAGATATCAACCTGGAAAACTAAACATCATTTAAAGGTAAAAAAAACATTTTTAGGTCCGTAGGTTTTTTCTCTATTTGCAGGCTGGTTTGTGTAGCCAGCGTTGCAGCCAGCCCACGCATTGTCTAAACCATTTGTATGGACCTAGAAGGTTTAGAGTGTCTGCAATGCAGGCTATGGTTTTGGGAATTAAATGATATCAAGAGCCCATCATTACATAGCTCTTTATGATATTCTAAATTTGCACCAAATTCGTTCTAAAAATAAACTGGTTGCTGAAAGGTGACATGAGTACATAGAAGTTGCATGCTTGCTCTGGCTGGGTTATGGACTCCAGTAAAATATTAACACTGCCTCACCTCCAGTGAAGTTCCCCATGATAAGAAGAAGGTCACATTTTGGAAAATCTACAATATATGAGTAAAACCGTTTGGGCAAGTCCTCTCCAAAGAAGACAATGTCTGGCTTGATAACACCCTACCAGAAAAAAAAAAAAAACACTTTAGCCTCATAACTGTTAGTAGCCAATGTTCGATATATTAAAATGCTACCCTGACTCCAAGACTTAAGCGACAAAATTGCAAGTTTTCATTGTCTCGCAATTTTCAGAAGAGACTTGACCACAAAGGAAACCAAAGCAAATACAGAAAAATGACCAGAAAGCCTCAGAGTCGTGTTAGAATTAAGTGGGCTACTCCTGTTATTATGAACACCCTGGGACTAGTGTCTGTAATAGTGTGGTACTGTGAGAAGCACTTCCTTATAAGACATAATTGACAAGGCATCATCAAGAAATAAATTAAGACCCACTGATGTTACATAAATTTTCAGATTTCTCAGAAGCATTTGACTCTGTGCCTCTGTGTCATTGTTTCAATGTCAATACTTAACATCACTGTCAGAGTTTATGTTGCAGTCACTGCCTTTAAAGAAAAATAATTTGTTGGAATTTACAGTCCCTGTAATAGCCTTACAGCACACAGTGGGGGAAACAAGGCATTTAATAAGTACTAATATGTTTGAGGTCTGGGTCCTAGAGTTTTTATACAGTTACGTACAAGTACCAAACCCGTAAACCCCTGGAATTTCATTCTTTTGTAATACCTGGGTTGTACATGCATTAGTTTTGTGTCTACTTTTCTATCTGATTTAGCCAGCTTTTGAACTCTCTTCGACGTATAAATTAAAATCAAAACTGGAGAGTTTGGCACAATGTGTGAGGGAGTATATACATTATTTTTTGATGGATACTGTAACTGTGAAAGATGAGTCCCTTTTTTTAGACAGACCAATGACTCACCGTGCATCTTGGGCTGGAACATCTGGGAATGTCTCCATTCATGATTGTTTTCTGAGTAAAAAACCAATTAAAACATGTCTCTTTAAATGATAATTATATAACGCATTTTTTAAAATAACTAAGATAGTACACGCGTTCTGATTGGTTAAAAACCTATGGTTTATTGTGCCGGTAAACTCAGGGAAAACTGGAACATTTTCTGTTTTACCTAAAGTTATTTTATAAAAGCAATAGACCACACTTTCTATGGGTTTACCGGCCTGATAACCCACTTGGGATGTTGGGAGAACACTCGAAAAGCTTGTAAATCACTCGCCTTTGGCCCGTGATTTACAAGCTTTTCTCATGTTCTCCCAACATCCCGCGTGGGTTATCATGCCCGTAAACCCATAGAAAATGTGGTCTATTGCTTACGTATCCTAACAGTTCATGGTGCTTTCACAATACTTGTAATAACAAAATAAAAACATAAAAAGAGAATTCTATCAAGAAGTTGGTTAAAAGGTGAATCTTGGACTGTCTCTAAGTGAAAACACACCAGGCAAAAGTTTTGCAGAAAACACAAGAACAATTATAAAAGTATTGAAACTGATCTGTGTGTGCACATCACACATCAAGGATAAGGTTAATTACAAATTTAATTAAAACTAACCTAATTGTATAGACTGTAGCAGAGACTTAAAAAAGTAGTAAAAGTAGAGATGGCTACTTAAAGAAAAAATTACTTTATAGGTCATGTAGTGTGAAGTGCCCTCAAGTGGTAGCCTTTTGACAATGAATGGGATTCTTGATTCTTATATGATGCCCAAGTTTTCTCTCAAAATGAATTAACACTACATGACTGTGAGTATACAGCTATTTCGAGAAAGGTTGTCGCAAAACTGTGCACGCGACAATCCTGAAAGGTAATATGGGATATGATTAATACACTTGTTTGACACAAACAACTTTTGTTGATTTAGGATAGGCCATTCTTTGAAATTTATTTGAAAAACAGTGAACTAAAAACCACCCACAATACCTTTCGGGATTGTCGCGTGCACTTTTTCCGACAACCTTTCTCGAAACAGCTGTATGTTTTCAAACAATGTTGATTGGGATAGGTTGAAAAAATCATCATCACAAGGACTATATATGATTAACATGCTAATATTACAGTCAGGTAGGAGAATTGGCAGCACTACCCCTTGTCTGGTTTAAGTCTCACCTTTATCTGCTCTCCATCATAGTTCTTATGGCATCGTATGCATGAGGCTGTTGAGAATGTCCCATGAGCTTCCACTAGCTTTGTTGCTGGTATATCAGCCACTAAATTGGTGAACCAAAGAAGACAAATTACTACAAGTCTAGCAGAGCCCAGTGGCCAGTGTTGCCCAACCCTTAATCTTCAAAGGGCAACTAGAAAATCTTTGTGTTTTTTTTTTCAAACAAATCATCTGAGCACCCTAGATTATCAGGTTCAGAGCACTGGATTCCCTTCAGTTTCCTTAGAGCTATTGTCCTCAGACTGTACAACAATGACTAAACTTGCAAGTTTAACAAAACTTGTAAAATTTTATTGACCCTAGGCTCTAAAAACTGTTAATGACGGAATGAATAATGGTTGCTAAGCTGCAAAGTACATGTATCTACAAACTAAAATACTGAAGAATGTTTACAGCAACAACTGAAACATTCTGACTTTGATAGCCTTTTAAAGCCAATGCCAACTACCTATACTCTGACTGAACCACTTTAGTTCTACACATGATAATTTCCCAGTTTCAGTGACTTGCAATTTTTTTTACAATATGCTTGTTGCGATGTATGTGATGTAAAGGATTATGATTTACGTTCTGCATATACTGTATACCTCATATTTTTGCAAAAATCAATAATTTTTTCTCCCACTCTCATATGAATTTTTTCTGCTCTTTTTCTTATTCTCATCCTTTTGGCCAATGCCATGGATGAGAGCTCTAGGTGGGACCATAGCTGGAAGCCGCAAATCACAGTACTTCTGATTTTCTGCGGAGCCTCATAAATTTGTGAATGTACAAACTGCGCTTGCCCATTATCCTCGACCTGCAGCCAGAGCTCTCTCAATCCATAGGGCTGGTCAGAAGGATCGAAGCTCTGGGAACAAGAATGTTTCTTTCCCATTGTTTTTTCTTACCAATGTAACATTCCACAGACTGGGTTTTAGGGATATAACATTAGGCCCTGAGTAGCAGGATTTTGCACAGCTATTAGAAATACTGAGTTTCAGTCCCAACTTTTTGGTACACAAAATGTGATGCTCTTACAAAGCAAAAACATGCACAGGAGTGGAAACAAAAAATTGACCCACATTACTTTGAACTAGGGTACAATTTGCATAATCATGCAGGCTTACATCTTTCCAGTCCATCAATGTTCTGTGTGTACATTCTAAGAAGCAATCCTTTATCATGAAGCATCTTTATAAAGTAGTGCACATAGTTTGGCTGGTAATTCCCAGGATACAAACTTTTTGCTAGACAGAAGAAAGGCCTTGGGTCATACCAGAAGTAATCTAAGTCAAAGATGGCTGTTGGCTCTGGGATTTTGTACTTCTGTAAGTTATCATAAAGTCCAGTCCCTGGTGTCCTGCATGCATAAAAGGGAAATAAATGAAGTGAAGAACTCGTGTTTGCAGTTAGCTTAGGGGATCCAACAACTGGAAATTCAAGCGGCAGCCAAAGGATTCCAGCGATCATGGTTGGCAGTCAGCCTGATGGTTCACTACATTTTCTGCTATTCAGCTGCAAGCCTACTCAGATACGCAAGCTATATAATATTGAGTATCCTCCAGGCCCCAGTTGTTTAAAAGGTGGATAACACTATCTGCCAGATAAATCTCTAGCCAAAGGATAATGGAATTGCATGGTTGCCCTGACACTCATCCAGTGGATAGCACCACTATCCAATGTTTGAATAACTGGGGCCGGATAAGGGTGGAGGCTGAGGGATCAAGGACTTTTTTGGAGTCTGAAATAATTTTTCATCTCAAGGAAGTTTCTTCAATTGCAAAAGGGGTAGGATTTTGGGTACCGGTAATATTGTTGAAATTGAGTTTACCTAATATTATTCTTGGTTAAACCGAACTGGGGCACTTGGAAGAAGATTATCCAATCACAACAGTTTTTGAAAAAAAAAAAGATTTTCAAGTTTTTTTGCAAACAGACCGATAACTTTCATGAATTTGAGGGCTGTTTCCTGAGTTCAAACGGTTATATAGTTTTCAACAGTTGCATGGTTGAACCTTGCATTTTATTGGTCCATTTGCCAAAAACAACTTGAGAATCTTTTGTTTTTTAAAAATGTTGTGATTGGATAATCTTCTCCCAGGTGCCCCAGTTCGAGTAGTTGCACTGTAACTAAAGGTGAAAAGGTTTAAATGTTTAACCATTCTATCACTATGGTGAGAAACTTGACATAGAACATGATTACCTGAAGTCAGGTATTCCACTGGGAGTACTGATGCCAGCACCAGCCATAACAATGATATTCTTACATTTGTCCCCTTTGATGAGATTCACAAGATCCTCCACTGAATTCACAGCAGCAGTGCTAATCTTTCGCACATAGTTTGACTTAAGCTTCCTGGGAGAAGTGCTTTTTGAACGTGATGGTGGATGAGGACTGGAACTGATTGACAGCTTTCTAAATGATGAAACTAACCCAGTATCTGAGTGCCTTGGTGATAAGCTGTTCGTTTTCTTCCTGGTCGGACGTTTAACGGGGCTGATTGTGCGATGAGGGCTACTGCTTGCAGATTTCCGTACAGGAGTTTTTCTAGGTGATGCCAGGGGCAAGCGTTGAAGTTTTGTGGATTGCATGAAAACTGTAACAGTAGATATAAGAAATAGCCATCAAAATCTGTTCCCTTAAAAGTTTTGATCAACAACCTTGGGGAAATTTCATCAATTAGCAAAGGCAATGTAGGTGAATTAGGGTGGAATTGAAATGAAGAAACACAAGATAAACTAAAGTTGGTGGTCAAAGGTGCACAATATGAAAAAGGTGGGCTATATGAAAAATTGGTTAATTAGGTAATTATTATATTATATAATTTTTGTCAACAATAGCACTGTAGCTCATAAGAGTTCTATTTTGTATTGTAAGTTATTCTTTCGAGCGATTAGAAGTTTTCTTGCCATTGCGTGCCATGTTAGATAGCCTTGCCCTTGGTTCATTGCGCTTAAGTTTATTTTGCATTTGGTTGGACACAAAACGTTGCTTAAAAGCAACTTATGAAAGCCCCTCGTAAACAGCGCGATTTGCAGGCAGAGCTAAAAGGAAACGAGGGAATGTTACTTAAACTGGTTTTGAAAGAGTCTGGCCTTGGTTTATTAACGCAAAAACACGAATATGAAACTGACGTAAACAAACTATCGACAATCAGTAACCAAGCAATGAGGAAGAAAGTAATTGAATGCTTAAGATCAAAAATTTCAAAAAATATTCAGAGCAAGTCAAATATCAGAGATAAAGAGATGTCTTCCGGATATAATCCAGTGGTAGAGGATCCACACAATGAACAACTACCGAGAAAATGCTCTTTTTTCTTACCTGTCCGAACCAGGAATGCACTGGCCGCCATTACCCTCAAAACACTTTGAGATTAATTGAATACCATATATGACGCATCTAATTGAATACCTTTGCCGCTGACCAGGTCATGAGCCCGTCTTTTTATTTCAAAGTCCGCCATGTTGTGGAGCTGGTATGCGTATCATGACAAGCTGATATTTGGGTTCTTATAGATTATTACCAAGTGAAAGGTAAGTTGGCCCAACACGTCTTCTCTATATCGACTTAAATCTGCTGCTGTGTAGTGTGGTACAAGTAGATTTACAGGGGACCATCGGCATCTGTGTTTATATGTCGATCAGTTTCCGGTTCGATCGACATATCCACGTTGTTAATTGTGAGTCATTCAGATTGATTCTGATGCGATGGATGAATGATCTCGAACGAACAGCATATCACAGCTTTTTGGTTACAATATTCAAGACGAAAAATTAACAAAACGAAGTAGAAATGTACTTGGGTCAGCAATTTTTTACCTGTTTATAAATGCATGTTTATGTATCAGTCAATTCCAATATACCACTCCCGGGCAAACCCCCTGGCATTAGACTTTTGAGAAAAATTAAGGTCAAATTCCCTGGTATGTTGGCAGTTTAAGTGGTCAAATGCCCAACTGACTAGCTGTTCGAAAAGCATTTTAAACCCAACCACCAGCGGGGTTGTCGGAAAGTTTTGAAGTAGACGGCTGAGTTGTCAAAGTTAGTGGCCAGTCCAGGGATATTTTATCTAAAAAACGCCGTACATAAAGAAATGCCAAGCAGAGTAGTTGACCAGTACTAACTAAGTAGGCGGCGATTTTCACCGGCAGTTGGCTACTTTTGACAAGCCTGCCCACCAGCCACTATTTAAAATTTTCCCATGTGTCAAACCATTTATTCAAATGTAAATATCCTACTAAACACAGCCAAAATATCGCAAGTCTTGGAAAGCTGTCTTACAGAGGAGTGTTCATTTCAATAAAATTGTCAACTCCAGAAAGTTGACATTTAAAGGGCTTTTTGAAAAGCTCTCAACAGTGAATAGAGGAGCAATGACCCCTGAACCTGGTGCACATACTGAATGCAGAAAGAATTACAAAATCCTTTTGCTCATGGTGCTGACCAGTGTTTTGACACAAAAGTCAAATACCTGATTGGATGGGTCTCATTGTGGGTCAAATTGCCCATGTTATGAAGTGATACTCAGACAAATGCCTGGGATATGCCCGAGGGGGTGGAGGGTGGCGGGGGGGGGTTGGGATGTGTGGGCAGTTTAGGAATTGACTGGTACATTACAGATAAGTATAAAAACTAACCTACATATCTTCAAATTCTGGTCTTGTGTTGTCCAAAATCACCAAACATAAGATGCTTCTTTTTCTTTGAAAGCATTGCTTGATGCTGTCTTCTTAGGATTTGTTGTATCAGACAATAATAAATTGAACTTAGCCTTTCACTATCAATAATGCTTTTTGTACATGTATTCAAAAGGGCACACAAAATTACTGTCATATCTTTGCGCATGTATGCAGATTAGAATGGAGTTTTAAAAAGTTGCCCTTCAATGCCAAGAATCATGGGTCGACGAGCTAAGGATAAACAGCTTGTGGCTCAAGCTTCTCGCAGAAGAACCGTTCTTCAGATAGACAGAGTTTCCAGACGAGAAGCTGGGGAAGGTATGTGACATGCTGTGCATCTGCTGTATTTCTATGTTCATGTATGTAATGTTAATGGTTGTTCTTCACAGGGTAGGTAAAAGGGCAGAAAAACAGGTATAGTTGACAGTTTTGTTCCCTGTCTGCCATGGTTAAGATGACTGACAGGCATCAAAACTGTCAACTATAATAATGAACTGTTTTGGCTAATTTATTTACAACGCAGTGTTCTTAGCAGGATTTTCTACATTCGGACTCATAAGCTATCATGAGGGAGAAAAATGGGTCACCATTTTTAGATACAGTTAACTCAACTGATTGGGTGTTTTCTTAAGATGCCATAACCAATTATAAGGAAATGTATGTTTGTTATGTATGTTTTGTAATAGGCTTTTTCTCCTTCTTTGCACCCTTGTGACCCCTTGGGCTAATGTAGTGCAGCAGTTTCCCAAAAAGTGCGGCAATGCTGCAATTAATGCCGCTGTCTGGTCAGAACACTGAAAACACAAACTAAAATTATTTGATACAATTAAAGCCAAATGAATTTCTTGAAGAGTTGTAGTTGAATCCATTTACACATACTGTAGTTACAATGTACATTTGTCTTAAGCTATGTGCCTTGATCAAAGTGGTTACTTAAACAAAAATTATTTTCCAGGTCCTGCTCCGAGTGGAATAAGAAGAGCAATCAATCCTAATAACATCACAGGTACAGAGATGGAATGTAGTTGTACCCTCTTTCATTGTACTGATGAGTGGTCCCCCATTTATTAATTTCAACTTCTGAAGGGATGTAGCTTAAATTTATAACAGACGGAAAATGGCATTTGATGGGTGGGTAATATGAGAGGAAAACAGTTGCCTTTTAAAGACTGCAATTTTTATCAGCTGGAAAAAATATGTTGAGAGCCTGGTATTTTCCCCTGCTCCCGGCTATTATCTACATGCCGGTTCTTGCTAGTCAAAACCGGGCCATTTAGTAGTTTTTTCTAGTTGCCTGGATTGTTGGATACAACTTTATAATATTCTTCCACGCAACCACACTTAACTCATGAGCAATTCATTGACTCTTGAAAGTTGATTAATCCGCTGATGTAAAGTTATTAAAATAATATCCAAATAAAATAGTCCCACTGAAGACTAGAGTATTTTCAAACAATACCTTCAACATAATTTATTATTATAACAAAGCACAGTCATGTACTGTTCTTTAGTATGTATATTGGATGTTGTTCATCTTTAGGTATTGGTTTACTTGGATCATATGGTGATCACAGCGATGATGAAGGTAAAAAGGCATAAGAAAGATGAATTCAAGTAAAATTATTTTCAGAAAACAGCTGACATTTCATGATGCCACGACTACCTACCCTCAAAATGACATTTATGGAATGTCTGCAGAAATTCCATACTGATAACACATGCTTGACTACCCAGATCTGGGTAGTGCTTCTAATTGGTTGAAGCGAATTCCCACATGTCACAACTAATATGAAGTACAAAAAAATATTCACGCAAGGGAGAATTAAATGAAAAAAAATTCATGCATGCCAATTAATCCTAAAAAATATTCATGCTATGGCCTAAAAAAAAATTCATACAAGGACTTTGATAACGAAAAAAAATTCCTGCGGCTCAAAAATTCCCCTCCCCCCCATAACCTTTCTAATGGACTGTCCCTTAAATTCCCTATTAATAAACTCAGGTTGTACTGTTAGAAAAAAATTTAGGGAGACCAATCACTCTGAATGGAAATAGTATACTGGTACAGGTAAGCGTATTGACTAGCTAGAAACCTTTAGTATAATTATTTTGTATTTAATAATAATTATGAACAGTTGTTGCTGGAAGAGATGGGAAAAACATGAAAACTCCCTGCAAAAATTGGTGGAAAAAGTTTCCCTCCTCTTTGTACTTGCAGAAGATGAAGAGCACTCTGGAGTTACAGAAGGTCAGAATGGTGCTAGAAATGTGGAGGAAGAACCAGCAGCTGTCGTCAGTGCTTCATCATCAGCAGGAGCACATTCAGAAATTGATGCCAAACTAGCTGACTTCTTTAATGTAAGTAACTGATCTCTGAAGATGTTTTGTAAATCAAATCAAAATTACTGTAAAAGCACCTTATAAGGTGAAAACTTTGTTCTAAATTGGGGGTGCACTATAGTCAATGATAGTTTCAACTTTTATGACCTTTTTGCACTCAGCAATCATCAGCTATCATCAGGTAACATTAACTATCATCAACTAACATGTGCCTTGAACATGATCAAATTTTTCATGATTGTCGATAATAGTTTTTCCTTTTTTGGCACCCTGAGTAGGATGCCGTGAATTTTCTCGCTCTGTGCATGATGGAGAAATTAATGTTGCAAGAGAAGAATTTTAAGAGATAAATTAAGTTATTTCATAACCACAGTACATGTTGTCTCTAAGGGACATAGCTTCTTTAAGCTCCCTAATGTCTTCTGTCAGCTCTGAGGTCTCGTCTGACCTTGGGCCTCACTATCATGGCTTGTTTTCTCAAAGCTAGAGTTTTGGATTAAATGGGTTACACATATTTATCACAGTTGCTGCAATAAATTTCTTTGCCACAGGAAATTGCATCAATGGATGCAGACACTACAACTGCAGGAACTGATGTCACTGTCAACAGACAATCTGAAGAGGCAGTGAGTTCCACTACAGAAGGTGACCATCCAGCTTCAGAAGCTTATGAGGAAGGTGGCTCAGGTTATGCTGGGAATGAAGGCGCAGGTAGAATATGGAAAAATTCTCTTAATATTTTTTTTTAGAGAATTTAAAATTGTTTACCAAAAAGCGATGATGAAGATTCTTGTTTTTGACTCCAACTACCACTTAAGTAATAAATTCATAGCTCATATGCTAAAAGTTAAGGATATTTGTCTG